GGTTTCGATGAGGCTAATTCTGACCGATCAGATCACGTCACTGCAACATTTGCCGTTTGTTACTAAGTTAGATCGGATCACTTTGGATCGATTGCTTAGGCCTTGGCATCTTAGAGCTTTCCTGTGAATTTTTTTGTTGCGAATTTTACACTCTGAATTTTGACTGTTGAATTTGAAGGCTTGAAAATATTTGTGCTGAATATTGTGGTAGATGATTTTTTTTTTTATATATTGAATTTTAAAAACTTTGAAAATGTTGTCAGCGTGTTCCAATTGTAGAAAATAATGACTGGAATCGATCGACTGAAATCACAAAAATTTATTCCCTATTCAATACAATTCTAATACAGAGCTCTGGGTCAAACCACTGTCCCTGATGGCCTATTCTACACAGGACTTACAATCAGGTATTCTGACGCCTGTGTCTGTCCCTTCACCCAGTATATACACATTCACAGAAATATGCAAATGATATGTTGAGCAGGTACACGCCTTGGATCCTCCTTGAAGCCTCTCTGTTTATGGGAATGACCAGATCTATTTAGGTTTGGTGCCAGCCAGGATGACCCCACATCAGCTGCTCTGTAAAGAATGTCCTTAAAAAGACACAACCTTCATCTCTGCAAAGGGAATCCCTTAAAAACATATATGTTTTCACACAGTGGTACCTTTAAACATATATATCAGATTTCAGTGGCTAGGCATTATTAATTGTGTGACTTCATTAACAGTATTTAAACAAATATATGATTTCAGTATTTAATATATGCATGTAGTACACTCACGACACTTTATTATTTGTTACAGCCTTCAATGTAGACTTAAAAATTCAGCAACTAAAATTCATAATAAAAATTAATAAAAAGTTTAAAAATTCAAAGTGAGAAATTCAACAGCATTTAAAATTCAAAATCTGATGAAACAAATTATCCTCCATAGTTCTCCATTTCTCCGTTCTCTATTTTCCATCGGATAAGTGTGGACGAACACTGCATCCGCAACGAAAATTACTCGAATACATACTAGTGTGGATGGTCTATGTTAATAAGAGATTTGGGGTAGTTTGTGTTTTCTGGCTGTAAACATTTGATTTCTGTATTTCTGACTGGCCAAAAATGGAGGAGATGTGCAATAAGATCTCCATGGAAACAAGTAGGTTGCAGACTACACTGGGAAAGTTGCGTAGTGCACCTTTAACTGTAAAAATTTATCATATATCCATATTTTTCAGAAAACAAAAACCAAAAAAACACAGTCATACAGTATCCCAGCCCCACTGCACCACACTGAGCATAAACCCAGCCCTCCTCCCCCTCTGTTACCCAGGGGAGGCACTGACTTTTCCACTTGTTTACACTAAAACAGGTGCGCTCGGCTTTATTCGCCCATCCCGTTGAACGTAGTTATTAAAATATCCCGTGACCTTGCAAACCCGGATTACCCTGCTCATCTGCCCCAGCGAGAGCCAGCCCTGCCCCGCTCAACGCGCCCCCAGCCTGGGCACAGACGCGAGGGCGGAGGGGTGCCAGACGGATCCAGTTTCGGCTCAGATTTGTGGTTTTGTGAGTGTAAGTGAGTGATATGTTTCTCAGGGGACAAATAAAAGAGTTAAAGAGGTCTTAGGGTTTTCATATACGCCGTTGTGTTTGCGCTGGTCCAGTCCCTAAAGTGTAGTATATGAAAGTGGTATTTTTCCAGCTCTGTCATGTTATACAGTGTGAGTTTTGTGGTTTTCTTTAGTTTGTGAGACAACAAATTGAAAAAATATATGTTAAAGGGCCCATATTATGCTGTTTTTGTGTTATTTCCTCATCAAAAACGTACATGAAGTTGTGTTTTGTATTCACACATTAACACAAAAACCCTGCATATATGTTAGTAGGTTCTTTCTTCAGACCAAGAGTTTGTTTTCATATCTGACAGTTTGGACTGCTCACTCGCGGTCTTCCTCAGAGTGGTCACATGATGTTTCTGTGACGTGTCCGGTCAGCTGATTTAAACAGGTTTTGGCGCTGTTTTCTTTCCGGTGGAGGCAGGACGACAGCGCCATCTGCAGTCCCACTTCCTCAGGACAGTATCCCAGGTGTGTGAGTGTAAAAAAATCCCCCTCATCCCAGTTTATAATCCAACATCACGTGATCACTCTGAGAAAGACCGCGAATGAGCAGTCCAAACTGTCAGGTATGAAAACAAACTCTCAGTCTGAAAAACAAACAAACAATAACATAAATTATGGGAAGACCAAATGAGCCTCGTTGGACAAACCCTGCATATTTAGGCTGAGTTCTTCTGCCAAACTGAAAACACTCTGTTCCACCTTGTGATTTCATGTGGTAATACAGAAAGTGCTCCACTGTGTTTTAAAACCAAGCCACAGGGTCTAAAAATGGCCACTCATTCAAGTCAGTGGGCCGAGCTCAATAGCACATGACTCCAGATCTGATTTGTTGGAGGCAGTCACAGACCAGGAACTATGAAAGACCAACTATTGCTCATCCCCCCGCCCGTCCTGAGAAAGCACAGGTTCCGCCCTCCAAACGTGTCGCAGGCTCTGAGTGAGCCGCCCTTCCTCCGCCCATCTCATGGAGGGAGGGGGAGACAGACGTGCACCCTGATAGTGGTAGGAATAAACTTTTATTCATCATGGAGATACAGCGCGTTCAGCCACATGTGTTGGACCTGGAATCAGACGAGGACTTTAAGGTGCACGAAGCTCAAGCACCACATCGACATCAGCTGAACATTACTGATTGGTAAAGTATTAATAAACACTAGTAGATAAATTTATTATATCGTGAACACTGCAGTGTAGAATAATTAGCTTATGCTGTCGCTTTTGTTTAGGTGTTCATGTGGGAATTGTCAGACGATGTGGGGTGGAGACGGGGCAGAGGCGGTAGAGCTGGGGAGGGGTGCGGGTGCGAAGCATGGATCTGTTAAAATAACTGTTACGTCAAACATGCCATAGGTGTAGCTGGCTGCGTCATCATTGTAGCAGCTTTAGTTCGTTGTCATGTGGGAGTGTCGCGGAAATATGCTACAATTTGTTTAAAAAAACACCGGATCAATCTAAAAACCACTTTGGCCCACACATCACTCTTAGGAGGTAGAAAACTCTGAAAAGTTGATTTTGAATGAGATGGGCCCTTTAAGACAACTGAAAGGTTTCAAGCTGAGAAAAAGGTTTTATGATCTAAAAATAGGTACAAATCGCCACAAAATACGATATTTTTGAAAGTTGCAGGTCCCTGTCAGCCGAACACAAGCGGTTTGTGATTACATTGCGCACTATGAGAAAAATCTTGTCTCAGCCGAGGGGATTTTTTTCTGCTGAAGTACCAATGAGCGGCCACTACATCAACTGAAGGCAGGTACAAGCAGCAATACGCTATCAAGTTATTTAATAGATCCATGTTTTAAACTCCATGCACTGTCACTAGAATTATTTGAATGATTTCAGCTCTGGAGTTGCCAGCCTCTACTGATCTAAAGATAAGAGGAGCTGTTAACTTGAAAACTACTGCTTCATGACATCACAAGGTGGAACATAGCATTTTGAGCCTTGGAAATTTATTTGGGATCTAATAATAAAGAGTTACTCAAACATGTGTGAATGAAACAAAACACAACTCCAGGTCTGTTTGTGATGAGGAAACAACGTTATAACAAGCCCAAAAGCTCCCAGAAGTCAATTTATGTGATATAGGACCTTTAATAGTATTACACTGTATAGTAAATTAACAAAAAAATAAGTCAAATGAAGCCTGTAGTGGTGTACTAATATTAGAGATAACTAGGATGTGAATTTCTATCAGGGGGCAGTGAGTTGTCTCAGTGTAATGTTTGTTTTTGACCTTGAATTTCTGAAAAAAGTCCTTCCTGGGATAGCCTACAGTGAACTAAGAGGCCAAGTAAATATTGATAAATCTGGCAACCTCTTTCAACCAATCAGAGAATGACAACAAGTGATGTCAGAAAGTTACATTCATTTGGGCGAGAAAAGAAGTACAGCCTGTAACTTGTCAAAATAAAACTACAGCTTTTTCCCTCCTGTTAACATTGAACATATGGATGAAAATGGTTAGAATTTGGTTGTTACAATAAATCATATAAATTTACTAGCTTTCACAGATGTTTAATTTGTAAATATTCTAAACATGGACTTATTATAATCAAAAATATAAAGAAAAACAACCTGTCATGCCAAAATATATAGCATTATTCATTTGTATATTCTACATAGGACAGTTTTCATTCTTACTGGCAAATTTTATATACACAAATATAGATTTCTTAAAGTATTAGTTACTACTAGTAATAGTAGTGTAACACTTTGAAATTACTTAAATGCAATGGTGCCTTCAAACTAACTGAAAAATTATTTGTTTACGTTGGATGATGTCCTTGTATAGTGTTTCTCTTTTATTTAATTTATTTATTTTATATGATGCTGCTTTAATTATTCCATTATGTGAAGTAATTTGTATTGTCACTTTGATTTGTCACTTTGATTAAAAAAAAATAATAATAAAAAAAAATTAAGAAGGCATCTATGTACTGTTCTAAAATCTATTTTTATCAGTTGGCCTTCCTTTAACAGGTTTTAGCTAGATTTTATCTTTTATTTATTTTTATTCTATTTTATTAACTTATTTATTATAATTAACTGAATTGATTGCTTCATTGTCTGATTTTGTGTGCTTTCTGAATGCTATTTTTGTTGTTCTTTGCTACTTGTACACCTTGTTTTTAAAAGTGTTTTATAAATAAGGATGTATATTATTATTATTATTATTATTATTATTAGTAGTAGTAGTAGTAGTAGTAGTAGTAGTAGTAGTAGTAGTAGTAGTACTTAAATTCCAATTCTTTTTGAGTTGAGTAAAGATTTTATTTATTTATTAGTTTTTTGTTTTTGTTTTTAGCTTCACTTTAGCCGTTTTATTTTGAAACACTGCACCGGAAGTGTAGCTGTCGCCCCGTGTCACGTGACAGGTTTGAAGCTGCAGACGTAAAGATGGACGCCTCCGTACTCTGTTGTATGAATCGGATCACAAGTTTACAGTTTTTAAGCAGCATGTCGCGTCTGGAAATCCTTCGTAAATGTACATATCTGTTTATTATCGTGTGTATTACGACTCGACCATCGCTAGCGGACGAATACGAGCAGGAGGAGTTTTTGAAACGAGAATATTCGCTGATCAAGCCCTATCGAGGTAAGTACCTGTGTGGGACTTGGGTAATTAGCCTCATTTGTGCCCTTTTAATGTTAGAAATACATTGTGATCGCTCGAATAATTTCCACATATTTACATTTAGGCTATTGTCTGTTAGTGTGTAGGGTAATTATTAACCACGAGGAACTTTGCCTTTTCCAGCTAATTAAACAATACGAGAAATCAAAGCTCCTTTAAATTTAAATATTCAAATTTGTGAATATTCTCAGTTTCGTAAAAATAAAAAAAATGAGTAATTCGTTTTGTTTCATTTATAACTTTATTATACCATTTAAATTAGCTGTTCTCTTAGATGCACTGATTTTATTGTAACTAGAGCTGCAACAATTAATTGGAATAATCTTGACTACTCGACTACTGATGTGATCACTGACTATTTTAATAATCAGAATTGTTATCTGGACTATACAGACTCTAAAACATGTCAAAATACTCTTTTATAACAATATGGCAGTAATATAAAATTTAAATTCAAAATGGCATGCAGTAGGATTCGTGATTTTTATTCATTTGTAAATATTCTGTGTCTAGAAGCTTTCAATCACCATTTTATTTTTTACTTTTAATTGATTAGAATTTTATTTTTAAAAGTTCAATGTGCAATAAAATAAATTCTTAGACTAATTGTATAAAAAATATACATATATATCGCTAATCGCTAATAATATCGCTTTTAGGGTTGGCCAAAGTATAATACAAAATCTGATACTAATGATAATAAAATAAGTACTGAAACTAGATACTCATTTGAACAAGTTTCAAGTTTCAACTTTCAACTTTCAACTTTATTATCGTCCCAAAGGGAAATTGTTGTGTAGCGTGTCAGCCACACAGTAGACATACAATACAATTCAATAACACAATTCATTACAGCTTAAGTTTTGCTCAGTAATGCAGACAAACATTCCTTTAAAAATAGGCAAAAAGGAACAGGAAATGTAACCACATTTCACCATTCTAGTGAAATAAAGGAAGTCCGAGCTCTCTGAGTTTTGATCCGGAGCATCAATACTAAAAAGGTCGCACTCACAGGACAGAAATGAACCTTTCCTGAATGTCTTTAGAATGATCTTGAGCTGTATCAGAACAAGTATAAGAGCACATAGACTAGTATATGCCCATGGACCACTATGGAACCTACCTGGAAACTTAAAAAAAAAAAGTATAAAAAGAAAAGTAAAATTTTATGTTGAAAATTATATTCTACAGTCTAATTAATGAATTTATTTTTTTTTTACTATCATCATGGTATCAGAAATCGAGTCTTTTCCTTAGTATCGAATTTTGAGTTTGAAATTTAATAAATTTGTCTAATAATAAAATAATATTTTATTACAGCCGTGATTATAACACACTGAATAACTCTCCAGCCTGCAACCTATGAATTCAAGTGTATTTTGTATATGTATTTTCATTTGTCATCCTCATAAGTAACCTCATGATATGAACCCAAACCATGCTACAGGTCTCCAGGAAGAACAGTTGATAGCCAAGGTCAGATAAATACAATCAATCAATGAACGTGCCCAGGGACTACAGGTGGAAATTAGCACTGGTGCTGCAACCTGGTACAATGTATCTCTCCTGTTAAGGTTCATGTCAAAATTGTGCGCTGTCCCTGTCTCATTAAATAAAATAAACAAACAATACCCATACCTGTACTGTACTACACATTTACGTCATTGCACCTGTCTTTTTTCCCTTCCCAACCTCTCATCTTTCTCCCTTGACTCACTTAAGAAATAAGTTAGTCATTGTTTAGTCATGTTATAACGTTGCACCATACTGTATTGTTGTTGTGCAGGTTTAGGTTTCTCCAGCTCTTCACAATGGGACCTGATGGGGACTGCAGTGGTCACGCCCGACTATATCAGACTGACCCCGGACTCCCAGAGCAGACAGGGGGCAGTGTGGAGCAGAATTGTAAGTGTTTAGGAAAATGGGCAAATACTATAAAACCATTTTAGTCAATAACATCAAGGTAAAGGTGCGCTGTGTAACATTTCTAGTGGAGGGCCTGCCACTTTGTTTGTCTCCAGAGAAATGTTATTGCTTTGTCTAGAACAAGGGTGGGCAATTCTTTTTTCTGTGGGGCCACGAAAAACAGAAAATATTGTGGAGGGTCAGACCAAAATGCTTAACTCAATTCTGCGTAATATTAATTGTATTTCTTTATATTAAAAAAAAAACAAAAACAAAAAACACACAAACAGTAAATGTCATTGTTTTGGTCAGACTGGTAAGCATTTCATGTTGTGGTTAAGCAATGAAAAATTGAGGCTGATGAACAAAAATAAAATAAATATTGTAATTTGTAATTCCAAATGAGCGTGAAGGGGCCAGTCAGAGTTGAAGCCAAAGGGCCGTATGTGGCCCAGGAGCTGTACAATGCCCAGACCTGGTCTAGAATGTTACACATAATAGATTACCGTGTTTTCCATACTATAAGGCGCACTGTCATTGAATGGTCTATTTTCAAACTTTTTTCACAAATAAACCACACCGGACAAGAAGGCGCATTAAATGAAACACAGCAGTTAGATAAGTTAATCAAACTTTATGTAACGCATTCACAATAACTCAACTTTGTTCATTTGTAACACATAATAAAAATCCTGTCCTGAGACACTAAATTGTTAGTGTATTCACAATAACTCATAATTGTTCAAACAGTTGGGCGATTACAGCGTCCAGCACGCCCACATCCCTCTTGTCATTATCCTAGTCAGTGTGGTTAATGTTCCCTGGCAGTTCAGTGATGATTCTGGTCTTGGTGAAAGCTCGGACCACAGTTGATACGGATCCTTAGCCCAGGCGTCCACGATCCGTTGGCAGATCATGGCGTAAGTCGCTCAGCGCTGTCTGCCTGCCTTGGTGAATGTGTGTTCGCCTTCTCTCATCCACTGATCCCACGCAGCTCACACTTTAACTTTATAACAGCCTTGAGTTTAAAGTGGGCGTTGTAAGCGTGTCTGCATTTTCATTCCTTTTTTTGATATTAAAAGGAATCACAGTCTGTATTACTCCACGATGCTCCTGACTACGGTAGCCGTAATGCTGCAGTGCGGCTTTGTAGTTTTACTAAAGTCATACTAAGACACCCCAATAAATTCATATATAAGGCGCTCTGGATTATAAGACACGCAGTTTAAAAAAAAAATCAAATTAAAGGCTTTTAAGTGCGCCCTTTAGTGCAGAAAATACAGTAAGTCTATCTTATGACAAGGGAGACAACGGGTTACTGCATTACGCTACATTACAGTTCAGATCTGTGGAGAGTCATCCCCATTCATAGAAGGAATTATTGTATTTCTGAATGAATAAATTCTACATGGAATTTTTTTATGTCACATCATGGAACATTCCAGACAAAGCAATATGACATCTCCATGGAGTCAAAGAGGTGGCGGACCCGTCACCGGAAAAGTTGTGCAGTGTGCCTTTTAAGATAAAAATCAAACATGTAAATTGGAACTGTCTCTGCAGAATCCCGTTTTAAAGCTCTATTACAAATGAATTTAAAGACTTGATTTATACTGTCTTAAAAACGTGAAAAACAGAACGAGTTGATTTTAAAGAGTTTGCAGTGGTCCAAAATTGATCCTCGCTTTACTTACGCATTCTGAGCGTCCCACCACAATGAGTTTATAAGCACTTTTCACAACTTTCAAAGACCAGAGCACTGTCATGTTTTGCCATCACGATAAAGCAACAACCAGCATCCTAACACACATTTCCTGATCATCTGACAATAAAATGCCTTGTAATTAGATGGAGACAGTACACACTGGACATATTTTGAACTCAAGAGGGCATTTAACTAAAGAAACAAAAATTTATGGACATATTTTTTTGTCTAAAGCAAATTTTTTGACAGCACACGAATAGTCTCCCAAATAATTATGATTTTAATTTAAACTCAAACACTACTTTATTACTGATTTTAATACTATTTGTTTCTGTACTTAACCAGCTTGATTAGGAAGGCAGAATATTTTTTTTTTTTTGTTTTTTTTTCAACAAAATCTTAATAAACCAAGCCTCTGTATTTGACAGGGTGCCACAATTCCATGCAGCAGACATTGTAGACTATTTTTAATGATTGTTGGCTCTCCATGTACCCAATTTTTCCCATGTATTCCAGCCAAGTCTGTCTTGCCCCAGTACAAATAAGTTTTATAAGCAGGTCTAAAGGTCAAAATAAGTCCACTACTTCAACACAAACTCCGCTCTGGCCTTCGAAAGTTGTGAAAAGCTCTCCTAAATTCATCGTGGTGAATAATTGGGAGCCTTGGAATGGATAAGTTAAGTGAGGAATAACTTTGGACTTTTTGTTTTTCACGTTTTTTTTAAGTAAAAATCAGGTATGGTGCCTTCAATTTGTGTAATGGAAAGACACTGAAACTACAGCACTACATACGTGACATACTAATGCTGAAATATCATGCATTCTCCTTTTGAAATGCTGGTTTTGAAATGCTGGTTTTCTACATACCAACATATCTGCCTCACACGTACGCTTCAGGCAGTTCACTAAAATCTCAGAGATATGAACCCTTTTTCTTTAACATAAATAATCAGTTTTTCCCTATTTTTTTGTAGCCTTTTTACTTGACTGACTGGGAGCTAAAAGTGCATTTTAAAGTCCATGGACAAGGAAAGAAGAATTTCAATGGTGATGGTCTGGCGATTTGGTTGACAAAGGAGCGAATGCTGACTGGTGAGTGATGCTACAGCTATTCTACCATTTTACTGATTTAAACATATTCACAAAAAACTGCATGTACACTAGAAATAAAAGTTTGACTAATCAACCAGTGAATAAATACATTAAAAAAATGCTCATTCTAAAACCACTAATATCATTATTAGTAGTTGCACTAATTGTAACTCCAAGCCTAGAATCTAGATTTATGAATTTAAGTATTTGTTTTAGTAAACCAGGAATTAAAGCTAATAACCAGAATAAGGAGAGATGGTTAAAGGTGCATTGTGTAACTTTTCTGGTGGAGGGTCTGTCAAATGCTTTTCTGTATGGAGATATTGCTTTATCTGGAATGTTTCACAATATGATTTGGAACCTATCTATCTTCATGGAGACCAATCCAGAGCCAGATCTGTGGAGAGGCGACCCCGCTCACAGTCAGTCTGTTTGTCTAGGTATTTTTGAGCTATAAAACCCCTGTAATTGAATACATGTAAGGTAGAGCTGTTTAATGTCACACTGTGGAACATTCTAGGTAGAGCAATGGCATGTCCATAGAAACAAGCAGGACCTCGGGGCTGCAGAGAACGTTCATGTTTTTAAGAGTAGGCTCAAGACCCACCTTTTTAGCTTAGCTTTTGATTAAAATCTTATACTTTTACTTGTTTTTATTGCACACATTTTATTATATTTATTTATTTTAGGCATATTTTTAGGATTTCCAGTGTTTCCTCGGTAGGAGCCTCTGCATCAGGAGCAGAGTTCGGCTGTGGCTGCCGGGGTCTGTCCCGTGGGCTCCTGGTGGAGAGTTGGTGCTTGGGCTTCATCTCTCCCCTGGACCCTGTGGTGGTTCCTGGTGGTGGTGGACGTCTCTCTGCTCCTGGTGTAGACGGCTCCTCTGATGGTGCTTTCTCAACTAGTTTGCCTGTATTCAGCCTCACATATTACTATAGGGAATTTTATGTATTTTACCGCGCGTGTGTGTGTGTGTGTGTCTGGGTTGTTTGATAGTGTGGGGTCAGGCAGCTGTGGGGGTTGGGTTGGTGGGTGGATGGAAATGTGGGATCGTTTTTAATCACTTTAAAGCACTTTGTGTTACATTTTTGTGTGAAAAGCGCTTTATAAATAAAGTTTGATTGATTGATTGAGGTGATGGGCCCCCAACCAAAAAGTTACATAGTGCACCCTTATCTTGCATGTTTTGCATTCTTATCATTGCAGTTGTGCTACATGTTAGTAGGTTAACAGGAAGTAGACAACCCTGAGCAGCTGGGAACAGCGTAACCGCAGATCTTATCTACAGACAACAGAAATGCCCAACTTATGAAAAATAGAACTGAATAAATGTAATGCAGTTCTAAAAATATATGTATCACAGTTATTGAAAACAAAGACACCAAAAACAGACACACACACAGTTCTGTTCAGTTTATTTGACACTTGCAGTACAGTATAGCAACCACACTGGAGAAAGAGGTGCAAGAACCTCGGAGTGCACAGCAAACAGACAAATTCAAACAAATTAAAAACACAATCCACAGAATATGAACACAAGCAAAAGACACCATTAAAACATCATTTAGTCAAGATAATAGATAAGATAGATGAGACAAGTTCATAAACAAATAAATATGAAGTACCTGCTGCAGTCTTAAAGTGATCAGTGCCTGTGGAAAGAAACTTCTGCTGTGACAAGATGTAGTACACACACACGCGCACACACACACACACGCACACACACACTGCCTGTTTCTTATAATCAGTGCTTTATGTTTTTCTCCAAACCATTAGTTTAGAGAAAAAGGTATTCAGGTAGAGTTCCATGCAAAAGAAAAAACAAAAAAACATGAATGCACTACAACTTTATTTATAACACACTTTAAAAAACCAGACAGGTTGACCAAAGTGCTACAGAACACAAATAAAGGAGTAAAAGCAGTAGTGATGGAGAGATGAAGCCTCATGAGGCATTGAACCACTTGAGCCAATTGGTTCTAGAAAGGGTTAATTTCTTGAAGCTTCATGTGCACACGACACCACCTACTGGCCAAAAGTGTAATCACAGGCAGCTGGATCTGAACCACAACATGTGTGATGCATTGAATGTTTCTGTCTGTTATGTCTGTTAGGAATGACTATGAATTACAAAAAATGTATGACCAAATAATTTCTCTACATATATGATCACATATGTGTTAAATACATTTTGTATTCTGTGTGTGTAAATTTTCCCAAAATGAGAATGTCATAATATGGCAAGGGTGTAATCAGGTAAAGGACAGTGAAAGTGCTTGTGGAAATAGGAAAAGGGCACAGATTATGGTTGTGTAACTTGCACGATGATGTACAGGACTGGGGAAATTTTATTTATTTTTATTCAGAAACAAGAGTTTCTCAATAATTTTTGGTTTTGAACAATTTCTTTTTTTTTTGACACAATCTCTCTGACCTTGGAGATATAAACTCTATCCAAACTCTAGTATCCAAACTCTCCAAACTCTCTCCAAACTCTCTCCAAACTCTCAACTGACCGCAGCTCTCCTACAAACAACCATATTTTGGATGGAGACTGAGGGTCTATATCGCTGTAAGAGCTCATGGCAAAATCTGAACCACTTCCTGAAGCGACCCCCCCCCAAAAAAATGAAGCAAACCTCAATACGCGCTTCATGGAAACACCCCCTTCATTACTCGAAACGCGCTTCAAAGCCTCGGCACATCTCGTAACATCACTAAAAAACAGTAAAACAACACATGGATAAAAACAGAATCTAATAAAATATCAGCATCTCCAACTTTGTCAAAAGCCAACGTGAACAAATACAGGGGGGCGGCACTTTTCAAACACTTAAAACAAATAAAAGCAGTTTAAAATAGATCCTAAAGTGCACAGGCAGCCAGTGGAGGAAGATAAGATAACTTTTATTGTTTGTGAAGGAAATTATGGTACTGGAAAAAGTGCATTCAAACTGCAATTTCGATTTAATTGCGATTAATCATGCAGCCTTACTATATACCTACATTTCCTTGCCCGAATGAATGTGTAAATATACTATCTAATAGATATTTTCTTTTATATATTACCTATAGGTCCTGTATTTGGCAACATGAACAAATTCACTGGACTGGGTATTTTTGTGGACACCTACCCCAACGCCGAGAAGCAACACGACGTGAGTATCAGCAGCCACTTTGTTCTAAAAATACAATCAAAGAATCTAAATATTGAAATAAAGTTATATAGTGTTAAAACATACATCTGGACTTTTATTTTCATTACTGCATCGTGACTTTTGAGCAGAAGCTTCAGATTGGGGCTCAGGTAGAATCACTACTACATGGATGGACACAGCATGTTCACTGTCTTGTGTTCATCTCATTTATGTATATTTTTTCTTTACTGTCTTTCTTTTTTTATGTTTATCTGTGAAGAAGTGACTGATTCCACATGTGCAAAAAAAAAAAGCATGCAATTTAAGTAGACATATGCATTTGTCTCGTTTAATGGTAATTTGTTACTAAAGTCTATCATTATTTTTTGCGTTTTATTTTCTTGTAAACTATGTCTTAAAGGTCCTATATTATGCAAAATTGACTTATGTGAGCTTTTAGCCATGTTGTTGTTAATGTTGTAACAGACCTGGAGTTCTGTTTTGTTTCATTCACACGTTTAAGTAAAGTTTAAAGTTCGCTTTATTGTCAGTTTATTGTACTAGACATACAAAGGAATCAAAATTATGTTTCTCTCTGTCCCATGCGTGGACAAAAAAAAATATTAAGCTAAAAACACTAGGGTACAGTACAGTGCAGTTCAAGTCAGATCAAGTCAAAATTGGTAAATAGTGCAAATGATACATAGTGCAAAAGGCATATAGTTAGGGATGTAACAATAACCAAAATACTGTGATATTGTATCGTCAAAGTTCTCACAATAATATCGTGGACCATCACAATATATTGAATTACAACTCTCTTTGCTTAAATTAATAGTTAAGGTGCAGCAATAGCTAAAAAAAAAAGACAGAGGGAACTACATAGACCATGATCCTTTGCTCCATTTCAGAATAGTAGACTACATGAAGAGATAACACTTCTTAGTTCTTTGTCAAGGCATTTTAAGAGGAAAAAGTAGCATAGTAACAGTTTTGTTAGTCTCCACAAAATATCGCAGTAAATGTTTTACCTTGAGATGTATATTGTGAAAATATCGTACTGAGAGATTTGGATATTGTTACATCTCTAATCGTGAGCCTCCCCACCATATCGTGAGTTTTCCCATGATATCGCAATAAATATCGTAACATGAGGTTCATACCGTGACGATATCGTATTGTGAGACTTATATCGTTACACCCTTACATATAGTGCATATAGAGCAAGGCACAAGACATTTTTTTTGGGTTGAGTTGGAGGGGGTCCGAGTCCAAGTGTTCTTTGGGGAGTTCTGTTTTTAGACAATCCTGGATTATTAGGATGTCTACCTTTCTAAAGCTAAAAATTCTTTGTTCCACCTTATGATGTCATGAAGCGGTAGTTTTCAAGTTAACAGCTACTTTTTACTTTTACTGTTCAGTAGAGGTTGGCAATTCCAGGGCTGATATGATCCAAATGATTCTAGTGAAGGTGTATGGAGTTTTAAAACATTGTGGCGCTCTTCCTGTATCACCACATGGCATCACAAGTTGGAACAGAGTGTTTTCAGTTTGAGAGAAGAACAAGATTTGTGTGTTAAACATGTGAGTGAAACAAAACACAACTGCAGGTCTGTTTTTGATGAGGAAACATGATTAAACAGATCATAAAACAGTTCAATATAGGCCCTTATCTCTTATTAAAAATACTATAACGCTCTATTGACTTTTGTGTAAACATTGCAAACAAATATTACATCAATGCGTAATCAAATACAGGACAATATAAGACTACCCACACACACATGAATCACTCAAAATATAAGACTATATGAAAACGACGTTTGTTTTGCTTGGGCAAGACACTAAGCCGACATTGTCTCTGGTGTTGACTATTGGTGTATGAATAGCTGTTCTTTGCTGTAATGTGATTAAGCTCATAATGGAGATAAAGGAGCTATAAATGCGGCAGTTTCTCTTTATCATTTACCATTAGGGTTGGGCAATGTGCCAAAACGTCATATCCCCTTCACTGAACGATCTCAATGTTCAGTTTCTTCTTTTTAAAGGGCCTATATTACGCTATTTTCTGATCCGTGTAATAATCTGTACTCATCAAAAACAGACCTGGAGTTGTGTTTTCTTTCATTCATACATGTTTAACACATAAACCCTGCAGATTTAGGCTGAGTTCTTTTCTCAAACTACAAAAAAAACAACTCTCCATTTCCACCTTGTGAGGTCATGTGGTGATACAGGAAGTGCTCCACTGTGTTTTTAAACTCCACACACCTTCACTAGAATCATTTGGTTCATTTCAGCTCTGGAAAAGCCAATCTCTACTGAACCAAAGGTCAAAGGTAGCTGTTATTTTCAGAACTGCCACTACATGACATCGCAAAGTGGAACAGAGCAAATTTGGGGATGTCAGATTAATAATAAAAGATTACTCAAACATGTGAATGAAACAAAACACAACTCCAGGTTTGTTTTCTTGACAAGGTAACAGTAAAAGGTTCATTAGTATAGGACCTTTTAAAAAATCTGATAAACTAGTTACAATATTAATACCCTGAACATGAACAAGGGATGGACCAATATGATTTTTTTTTTTTTTTCTGAAGTCACTTCAATATCTGATATTTTGCCTGCTGCTGTGCCAATAACCCATATTTGCCTGTTCCAATATTTAACATTTTAAATCCATAGCAATTTATCTTAAAAGGGCATTGTGTAACTTTTGCGGTGGAGGGTTCGTCAAATGTTTCACAGTATGGCATTAAACCTTTCTATCTTCATGGAGACCAAACCAGACCAAGTTACAGGTCAGATCTGTGGAGATGCGACCCCACTCACAGTCAGAATACCTGTTTTTCTTATTTCAGAGCAATAAAATCCCCTCTAATTGAATATTTGCCAAATAGAGCTGTTTAATGTCATACTGTGGAACATTTCAGGCAGAGATGACAATGACATCTCCATGGAAACAAGCAGGTGACAGACCATCCACCAGAAAAGATACACAATGCACCTTTTAAGTTTAGGTAAAGATTGCAAATAGAATTTTCTAAAAACAATAAGAAAATGTATTTATATAAAATTATTTGTTACATGATTGTGTAGATGTATAACTAGGGCTTGATACCATTAAGAAGTCGAGACAATACATACTTCGATACATAGGCCACGATATGTTTTTCGATACAGTGCACTTTTGATTCAATTTGATTCAATATGATCAGGGTAGCCGTGAGGTCTTAAAAGTCTGAAAAAGGTCTTAAATTTCATGTTCCTAAATTAAGGCCTTAAATCCTGTTGTCCAAGTCTTATTTTTTTCACAAAGGTCTTAAATTTCATTAGCCTGTCTTTTTGTAAACTCAACCAGGCTGCAGTGCAATGTTAAATGGAGGGAGGGTGAAAAAAAACCAACAACGTGAATGTCTAATTTGGAGAATGCGCTAACAATATTTTGGGTTTTGGTTCCGTCTACACTGCTAAAGACGCAAAACTCTGGTCAGATCTGCTCACGTCGTGTACGCGTTTATGCCACATACATCACAACCTGGCGTCACCACCTGACATACATTGACAATTCAATTCCACACACTTTTGTGTCACCATATGCACGCAGATTTCCTCCCGAAAATGCTCGTCTAAACACGGAATAAAAAGTGAACACGCAATGCCACTTTTGTGTCTTCTGTTCAGACCGTCATCATATAAACGTAGCCTTAGATTCTAGGTATAGTATCGGTAGTTATTTGGTCATTATTTTCGCCCGCGTAATGGGTAAATATTCATTTAAGTGGTGTTAAAAAGGTCTTAATATCTTAATTTTGGGGTAGTCAAACCCGGGGATACCCTGATGATATATTTCAAAGACTAAATCATGGCTGTGATACTAAATGTCTTGGCTATGTTACTAAAAAGTCTTTGTTAAACTACTAATTTTGTTCAAAGTAAATTTGAAAAACACCCATTTTGCCCAAAAAAGTGAAAACGTTTTGCATAAAAAAGTTTCCTTTCTCCAAACAAGCAACACAACTATAGCTCTTTCACAAAATAATTTGGTAAAATATACAAAAAAAATACTCTTGGCACTATATCGTTACGGCAGCCCATGATATCAATACTGTATCATCAAATTAAACAATACAATATAAATCAATATTTCAATATTTTTGCTCACTCCTGCATATAACACTTTTATTTTCAAGTTTCCTCCTGAGTCCGATGCTCTGAGGTCAATCTGGGAATGACACATGAACGCACACAGAGACCGGGGCAGTGCCAAAACAATATCTGTACTGAATATCAATATCCGATGATGCCATATGGACAGTTCTGTATCGATATCAGCTGATACCGATATTTGAACCGTTATATATCGCCCATCCCTAATACAGACTTTTAATTATTGCCATTGTACCCCCAAAACACCCACGTTTCGTCCTTCAAAGTTTGACCTCTGCTCCAAATTGACAGAGAATTGGCTGATCATTGATTATTATTGATTCTCGACTGAAATTACATACCCTACATACCTTTTTATAACATTGTAAAAGCTCACAAAAGGTGACTCTTGCATAATATGTCTCCTTTTAATCACAAAGCAAATTCTAATCATTACCCAGTCACCTCTGAGCCTCGTATGTGACGTTATGCTTGACCCATCACGCCATTGTAAAACTGTGATTGTGCTTCTGGTTCTGCTGTGAATGATGACTTGAAATTGAAATCCTTTTGTTTTCCGTACTCAGAGGGCGTTCCCGTACGTGTCGGTGATGCTGGGGAACGGTACCCTGGAGTATGACCACGACAAAGACGGCCGCTCCACCGAACTGGGAGGCTGCACCGCCATGATCCGAAACTCCCTCCACGACTCCTTCCTGCTCATCAGATACACGCGCAATCAGCTCACGGTATTTATACACCAGTGTTTTCAGCAGTGGAAGAGACTAATGTGGCAACAAGCTACACTTATTTCTTATCTATAAAATGTAGTGCTTAAAGGTGCACTGTGTAACATTTCGGTCGGGTGTCCGTCGTCTTCTTTTTTCTTTGGATATGTCATTGCTCTGCCTGGAATGTTCCACAGTATCACATTAAACAGTTCTACTTTACAATTATTCAGTTACAGGTAGTTTACAGCCCAAAAATACCTCCAAAAAGGGTCGCCTCTCCACAGATCTGACCTGTAACTTGGTCTGGTTTGTTCTGGTCATGAAGATAGAAAGGTTTAATACCATACCGTGAAATATGTAGATGTAGAAAAGCATTTGACAGACCCTCCTTCAGAAAAGTTACAAAATGCACCTTTAAAAAATATGACACCGCATTTTTAACCTTTTTACAGTTCTGTCTGGGCTCGTTGGCTCATTTGCATGTTTGATTTAGAGATTTTTATGATCAGACCTGTTTTTTGTCTTCTAGCTATGTCAGTGATGTTGCTGTGACACGTATGTTCAGCTGATTTAAACAGATTTTGATGCTTTTGTCCTACTTGGAGCAGTAGGACAACAGCGCCGTCTGCTGTCCAACTTCAGCAGTACCTTATCCCAGGCATAGACTGAACATTATATATAATATATATATATATATATATATATATATATATATATATATATATATATAAAATATGTGTGTATGTGTATGTATGTATGTGTTGCATCTATGTTATATCTCTGTATTTTGCAGCTGATGACTGATGTTGACGGTAAACAGACGTTCAAAGACTGTGCCTCTATATCAGGACTGAGGCTGCCTCTGGGATACTACCTTGGAGCCTCCTCTGCCACTGGAGATCTGACAGGTACAAGGGAGTTTAAATAGAGTACTGACATTTTGTACTACCATTTTAAAAGCAGAAGTGTCCTCCGCTGAAGAATACATTTTATTTGCATACTTAATGACACATCCACCCACAGCTCCCTGTTCACTAGGGGTGTGCAAAAAAGATCGAAATATCAATATATCGCACCGTTTAATGTGATGAGTATTGATATCGTGGGCTGCTGTATCGATATATCACCAAGAGTATTTTTTGGTATATTTTACTAAATTATTTTGTTACAGCACTACAGTTTTGTTAGTTGTTTAGTGGAAGGAAAGTCGTTCATGTGACACATTTGACATTTTCACTGTTTTGATGATTAAAATGTTTGTGTCTCATATGAACTTTGCACAAAAAGTGATTTAACAAAGACTTTTAGTATCACAGCCATGATTTAGACATTATTTTATTATTGAACTGTATCAAATCAATTTGAAATATATCGTATCAAATTGAAAACTCCCTGTATCGAGATGTGACCTTTGTAACATATCGGCAACTTCTTAATGATACCCAGCCCTACTGTTCACTGTCTTATCTTTAAATATTTATACATTTTAGCACGACTCCATAGACTCCCATAAATACACAAGTGGACAGGAAGTAGTGAGGCTGACAGTGCGGTTACCGGGAGCCGTTGTGAACAGAGACAATTGTAGAAGGATACATACTTGAAACTTGAAAAACGTTTAACTTGCTGCCTTTTGTTGTTGCCGTAGACAACCATGACCTGATCTCGCTGAAGGTGTACCAGCTGACTGTGGAGAGGGAGCCCGGGGAGGAGGACGAGGAGGTGCTGCTGCCCAGAGTGGACAACATGGACCAATTTCACGGTACATAATGTATATACTGTCACACACACACGAATGCAAATCTGAAATGACAAACGGGGGATAGAGTTGAACTGGACACCTTCTGGTTGGTGGGTGAGAGCTGAATCCATTGCAACAGTGGCTTTAAAAATTTGAATCAAACATATTTTTATCTAAAACAGGGATATCCAAACTTTTTCACAGAGGGACACATATTGAAATGATGTAGGTTTGACTGAGCCTCCAAATCTTAAATAAAGGTTGGATCATTTACTGTATTTTCCAGACTATTGAGAACACCTGAATATAAGCTGCATCAACTAAATTTTAACAAAATTTTACAATTCTACATATATAGACCGCACCTAAATATAAGCCACAGGTGTCCATGTCTTCAAGGATGTTTTCAAGTTCAGGTCGTCTGCTTTTATCGCTTCTGAAGTCTTTTGTCGTCTTTTTGGGTTGAGTCAGTTCGTCACATTGCCGTCACCAAAATCTCACCACCGACTCACTGATGTCGAGCTCACGTGCAGCAGCTCTGTTTCCTTCTTCAACAGCCACATCAATCTCCTTTAACGTAAAAGCTGCATCCTCTGCATTTCTTCGTGTGTTTTCCATGAGGAGGGTGTGTGTATGAAGTGCAAAATAACTGTTCAAAACACAATCAAACAAATCTTCCTCAGCACATCACTCCCGTCTTTCCCCGCACTCTACTGCACATGTCTCCTGCAGAAAGAGTGTCAGTCTTGTCTGTATCACGTCAGAGTCTTTGAGGATTTCAGCAGATTTCAAACTCTCTCGGGGGCGGGGATAGTTCTTTCAATCAGGTATGAGTGGGTATCCGGCTACTGAAATTTGAGATGTTTCTTCGTGTACACATGCGGGTAAGACATGTCCCCCTCACTAATGTTCATTTAGCATCATAATTTATTTTATCCAACGGTGATAAACTATTTGAGTGCACTGACAATATCACGAGCTAGTGTTGCAACTTCATGTGAACCCTAGATCCATGTGTAACTGCACAGACACACTCAGGCTGCGACGCATCCATGCTGTTGCCAAACCATAGACCGTATATATGAATGGACAATGTGCCAAACAAAGAATCCATCCATATATTAGCCACAGGGTTCAAAGTGTGAGAAAAAAGTAGCGGCTTATAGTCCGGAAACTCCGGTATGTTAGGTCTGTATTAGAGGTCTGTGCGGGACAGAATTTTCAGTTCCGCCCGCTCCCACACTGTGCAGTCCTGCTCCTGCCTGCTCCCGCAAAGAATTGTAATTTTCAGTCCCGCTCCCGCCCACATCTGCAATATTTTGTCCTGCGCCCTCCCGCAAGTCCCGCAGGATGGGAACTTTTGCTTTCTTAAATTCTATCAAACAAGGAGAAGCGAAAGAATTGGGCTGCGTATGGGAGGAGGCGTGGTGGGCGGTCCATCGGCATGGTTAAGTCCTGGCTAAGTCTTGTTTTTGTCCTGTTTTAGTCCTGGTTTAGACCTGTTTTTAGACCTGGTTTAGTTCCTGGTTTAGTTCTGAGTGATAAGTTTAGTGACGCAGCCCGTGCGACGTACGGAAGGAGGGACTGTCCTGTCTGCGCTGCGTACGGGACGGGTGGGTCAGTCTGCACGGCGTATGGACGGGGACTCTCCGTGCAGCATACGGGAGGGGGGACGGCATGCTGCTTAAAATGTTTTTATTAATGCCAAATAAAATATCCAGCACAAATTATGTATGATATGCTTACATTCATCGTTTGTAAATTTTACTTTGCACTCATATTTAGTTTGCGGGACTGAAGTTTGTCATCCCTCCCACCCGCTCCCACGTTGTGTAGTCCCACTCCCGCCTACTCCCGCAGTGAGCTTTCAAAATGTGTCCCATGCCGCACTGTTTTGCGGGGCTCTAGTCTGTATCAAAGTATTTGTTACTTTTTCAGTAAATAGTGCTACTTTTATTAATATAGGCCAAATCAGTAGTAAGCCTGAGGGCTGATAAAAATTAGTCTGAGGTCCGCATTTGGCCCCCGAGCCATAGTTTGGACAGCCCTGATGTGAAATATCACTTTGCAACAACTTAACAATTACATCATCATGTGCTTCTTTTAATTGTCAAAATGTATTGTTAAATGGGGATACACTTGAGAAAATTCTTTCAATCCTAATTTGGACTGGTACCTGCTGTGGCTCATGGTTTTAACTATTCGCCCACCATTCCCTTGCTCATACCAGCGCTATCACTGTGCCCTTGAGCAAAACACTTCATCCACCTCAGAATAAATGTGGTTAGTGTTTGAGAGACTGGTGGCACTCTGGGCGGTTGATTTGCTTGTGTCAACCCCAGGCCACCAAATTAAGCTAAAGTGATGTTGCTTTCAGGCATCTTGATAGAGTGTTCATTACAAGACCTAATTTATGGATTTGCTTTCTTTTTTTAATACATTTACCGAGTTCTAACCTCTTCTTTCAGCACATGGAATATTTTGCAGTCTTTGTGTAGCCCAGATAACCATTACTGAAATATCTACCATATTTTCCGGGCTATTAGGCGCTCTGGAATATATACATTGTCATTAAATGGTCTATTTTTGAACTTTTTTCCCAAATAAACCGCACCGGATTTTAAACAAAACACAACAGTGTGATGGGTGAGTGGTTTTGTTTGTTTGTGGCGTTCACGGTGACTCTGGGCTTTGTTCAGTTGTGGCGTGTAGGGAGGGTGCTGTCTGGGACCGCTGGATTGTCGGCGTGTTCGCAGTGACTCAGTTGTTCAGTTGTGTCTAGAAGTGGCACATTGCACTCGCTTTTTCGGTTCGTTCCTCCGTTCCGTTCCTCGTCCGTGTGGAGTGATGAGTGTGGCTGCATGTGTTTCGCTGTCTGCTCCATGCGTGTTTGCGTGCGCTGTGGGTGGTGCGGCTTTGTAGTTTACTGAAGTCGTGCTGGGACACCCGAGTGGATTCGTGTATAGGGCGCTCTGGGTTGTGGGGCGCGCAGTCGTTTTTTGATGGGGTTAGAGGCTTAAGAGCGCGTCTAATAGCCCCGAAAATACGGTAATTTGTTGATCATTATGTCAGCTTATTTGAATGATTAGTTGCGAATCAGCCCTAACTGTTCATGTCTGTGTTTGCAGTGGACGTCCAGGAGGAGGGCATGACTGGGGTCCAGATCTTTATCACCTTCCTCTTCTCCGCCATGGGCCTCGGGGTGCTGGGCGTGGTCGGACTCATACTCTACGGACGCTGGAAGGAAAACAAGCGCAAGAGATTCTATTGATACTAAATCAGTTTGGTATTTTACATAACACCAACTCAAATAATATTATATTCAAAGCGATGGGTCTCGAGGCTGTTGTAAACAAAATGGGGCGTGTTTACATTTTAGAATTTTACATAAAAAACTCAGATGGAGGTGTAGTAAAAAAAGAAGAAAATTCAGAAATTCTATGATTTGGTCCACTTCTTGATACAATAGTGACAAAATAAATCCTTTTTGTCTTATTTTTTCTGATAAAGATGTCATACTTTGTCAGATATATTTTCCAAAAAAAATAAAAAATTCGATGCAAATACTGCCTTTGAATTCTTAACTGACGTCCAGCTCAATTTTGAACAAATGGCCCAATAACATAACAATATAATGGTATGACAAGAACTCTGCCTATTTGCTGTAAACGGATGTGAACATGTTTTTAGTATTTTTCAAAAAACAACGGAAAGCTGCTCTGAAATTTTAAGATGCATTGTGTAACTTTTCTGGTGGAGGGTCCGTCAAATGCTTTACTCCATAGAGATTATATTAGTGCTTTATCTGGAATGTTCCACAGTATGGTATTAAACCTTTCTATCTTCATGGAGATCAAACTAGACCAAGTTACAGGTCAGATCTGTGGAGAGGCGACCCCTCTCACAGTCAAAATACCTGTTTTTCTAGGTATTTTTTGAGCAATTAAACCACCTGTAATTGAATAAATGTAAGGCAGGTCTGTTTAATGTCATACTGTGGAACATTCTAAGTAGAGTGATGACATCTCCATAGAAACAAGAAGGTGACAGACCACCAACTGATAAGTTACACAGTGGATCTTTAAAGGGTTATGCCCAAATGTGGCTGTAGTGAAGTAACTTCATTCATAAAACACAATTACAAATTTACAAATGAGCACTGATAACATGTAACACAAATTTTATACAAAATAGAAAAAAAAAAAAAAAAAAGAGAGAAACATATGACAAAAAAAAAGAAAAACAAAAACAAGTCCGTGGGCCAACAGGGTAAAATGGAATAACTGAAATTTGTGCATCTGGCTGGTAACGCTGAATACGAACAATGAACAAATGAACAAGCGAAGAAAATATATACTAAAAAATGTCTAGATTTTCACTGAAATTTATTTAGTTAGAATTTGCATACTAAAATTTGAAAATATTTTAGATTACTAATGCATTTTTGAATTGTGAAAAGAAATGATAGAATTCTAAATCAAATTTCTTTATAGTCAAATTGAATTATTTTCAAAATGCAGAATTTTTCGTAGCCAAGCAAAGCACTGTGAATCATTCTTATGTAGCATCTACTGTATGTACTTTCTGATTGAGAATTTTACATAGTGGTGTATGGAGTGGTGGCCATTTACAAACGCAAACCAAATATTTACATACAACTTCTCAAAAAAGTAAAAATAAATGAAATTTAAAAAAAAAATAGATTAAAAAATCCATGCACTGAAAAGTCAATTTATGTTTAATTTGACACTGCTCGTCGAAATTTAAAGCTGCATTGTGTAAGTTTTCTGGTGGAGGGTCCGTCAAATGCTTTTTTTATGGAAATCTTATTGTCTGGAATGTTTCACAGTATGGTATTAAACCTTTCTATCTCTGTGGAGACTAAAACCAGACTACTGGTGGTGAGCTATCAGAAGGTCTCCACCTTATTAGCCTATTGCTATTGTAAATGTATCATTTTGAAGCCCAACTTTCTTCAATAATAAATGGACAATGGTATATTTTTTAATAGGCATCTAACTGTACTAAGGTTTGCCCTCTATCTTATAATCACCTCAATTTCTTGCAACCGTTAAAATGACTAGCTCTGTGGTCTTTTTGATTTATAAATATGGTTCTCTGGAGGAAAAAAAGGTTGTGGACCCCTGGTGTAGAGGCGACCCCACTCACAGTCAGGATGCCTGTTTTTGTAGGTATTTTATGAGCTATAAACCACCTATAATTGGATAAATATGAAGTAGAGCTGTTTAATGTCATACTGTTGAACATTTCTAGTCAGCCTGGCCTAGTGCCTCTGCTCAATTTCACTTCTCTCCAGCAACTAGGTCAGGAATCAAAATACACTAGACGATTTGCAAGAATCCCAGAAGTGCAAGCTCGGACACCAGCCAATCAGCGAAGAGTGATGTGTTCAGTGTTGTCAATGATTCCTGAGATCGAGGAAAGACGTTATTATCTTTCTTCCCACGGGATTTGGGAAAAGCTTAATATACAAGTTAGTCCCATTAGCGGCGCATTACATACGTCACGACCAAATAACAGCGATTGCTTAAATGAAAAAAAGTACCTGTCTACAGTCGAGCGAACGAAATCTAACACTGTGAGGTCAGACGGTTTGTATGAATTGAAACGAAGTGAAACCGGCTAATGAATCAGGCTAGAACATTCCAGGCAGGGCGATGACATATCCATAGAAACAAGCAAGTGACAGACCCTCTCCTAGAAAACTTACACATCACACCTTTAAACTTTTTCCTCTAAACTATATTTCAATCTGTATCCTGCATTTCAACTTTTTTTTTTTTTTTTTTTTGGCCTTTTCTCTCGCACTGTGAATCTTTTGTGGTTGAATAAACTGGAAATCTGAACAAAATCGCAGTTTGTTGAAGTGAAGCTGGTGTAATAAAGGAGCACTCTGTAACTTTTCTTTTCTCTTGCTTGTCTCCATGGAGATAAAATTGCCTTGCTGGAATATTTCAGAGTTTAGCATGAAATCTACGTAGAGGTGCATTACGGCTTTCCCATGGAGATGTTGTTATTCCTTTGTCTGCAATGTACCAAAATATGGCATTAAACATATCAAGACACCACCAAGCCGACTTACAGGCGAGATCCGTGAAGAGGCGACCCCACTCACAGTTAGAATCCATGTTTTTAAAGGTATTTTTGGGCATTAAAAACACCCAAAATAATGCAGTTTAAAACCATATTGTGGAACATTACAGGCAAAGCAATAGCGTCTCCATGGTGACGGACATCCAGCTCGAAAGGTTGATACTGTTTACTCCATGGAGACAGTTAAACGAGGCAATTGGGCGAAGTTCCGGGTCAAATCTGTGAAGAGGCGAGCTGATTTTCAAGTTATTATTGAGGAAATAAATACATGTGTGATTGAATAAAGGGAAGATGTTTAATGCCAAAGTGTGGAACATTCCAGGCAGAGCAATACCGACTCCATAGAGATAAAGTTACACAGTGTGCCTTTATTGTTTTTTCAGATTGTGCCTTTACTGCTGATGTCCACTGGACGTACCTCAAAAGTTAACGAGGAAGTCGTGGGTTCAATTCCCCACATTCCCCAGTTGACACACAATAGCTGAGTGGAGTTTGCATGTTCTCCCTGTGTTACTGTGGTCTCCTGCCTCTCAGTAATGCAGTGAGGTTGTGGGTTAGATTCCCAAAATGAAAAAAAAAAAAAAATTCAAGCTGCATTCAGGGGTACAAAGGCAAAAAAAATAAAAATAAAAATGTGAAAAAGTTCTCTAAATGTTACCTTTTTCGAATCTCCTTTTTTTTTTTAAATTCTGCCCGGTAACTATAGTGTTCCAACTTTTAATCTGATATTTCAATCTTAACTAACAAACTATAAATAAATAAATAGAAATAGTAAAAAATACAGTGCACTATGTAACTACTCTGCGAGAGAAAGAGTATGTTGTCTGCTCGTCTCCATGGAGATATTACCACTTTGCCTATAATTTTCCACATTATGGCATTAAACTTGTTCATTATAGGTATTTTTTATTACTCAAAAATGCCTTACGGTGAGCAAGATCAGCTCTCCACAGATCTGATTGGTGATTTAATATCATATCGTGGATCGTGCCGGGCAATAACATCTCCGTGGATACAAGCGAGTGGCGTGCACAGTAATTCCAGAAAAAGTTACGTATTGCGCCTTTAAATCTCAAAAACTCAATATCCATACATGTTACGATGCCACTTTTTTCACGCAATTTTGAAGACGCATTGTGTAACTTTTCTCGCGGAGGGTCCGTCACCTGCTTGTTTCGATGGATTTATGGTCATTCGCTCTGTCTGGAATGTTCCACAGTACGACATTAAACAGCTCTACTTTACATTTATTGAATTACAGGTGGTTTTATAACTCAAAAATACCTAGAAAAAACGGAATTCTGACTGTGAACGGGGGTCTGGTTTGATCTCCATGAAGATAAAAAGGTTTAATACCATTTTGTGAAACATCTTCGCAGAGAATAGCATTATTTGACGGACCCTCCACCAGAAAAGTTCCACAGTGCACCTTCAACTTAATTGTTGTGTATTTGTAGTTTTGTGTTTGAACAAATCTCTTGCTGTAGCCTATACTGCCCGATAATGTTTTGAAATATGTCTGTGTGACTGCTCATCTCAATCATGAAACATACTTTTAATGTCCATGTCTACTGTATCACCAGCGAATGACATTTTGTATACATTTTCTATCAAATTGAGCCATTGAGATAAGTATTTTCATAACTCTGAGTCAAATCATTTACATTTTTTTTCTGACACTTTCATAAACCACTATTGAAGCTAGGGTTGGGACGATTTTCACAATTTTTGCGAGACGAGATTGGGTCCACGAGAACGAGACAAGACGAGATTTTGACATAATTTGTGATAAATAAGTTGTGCATCCGTTTTACATTTCATTTCACTTAATTTATTTTATTAAACGCTTTAGTGATCTGCTGTTTTTTGGAACCGCAGCTTCTCAAACTGCATAACCCACCGGCTCTTAAGTCTTTTTAGTCCGAGCCAAAGGTAAATTCAAAGGGGGAAAAAAAATCTCGTGGGATCGTTTTTCTCGTGTGCGCGCGATCTTTTGGCAATTTTGTCTCGCAAGATCTTGTCCCATCCCTAATAGGCTCTGTTCACGCTTGCCTGAAGACGTCTGGAAACATGCGGATGACGACTTCCGGTGTAGTTACCGTCACCGTGGATTCAGCAGCAGCGTATCCACAACCTGCCACGGGGGACGGGACTCTAATTGCAGCTTCGACGTCGCTTACAGGCAGCTGGTTGGAACTGTTGATCTGCCGAACATAACAGAACGCTACAATGACATTTTAAATGAAGTTCCACAAATTATAACACGCAAATTAATGGGCAGTTTATAAAAGGAAAAAAAGAAAGCATACAGTGACATCTAGATGAAAATAAAACGGGCCATTTTCTCAGATTTTGTCAGTTACTATCACCAAAAGATCCCGAAGGAATTCGTCATCCGCATGTTTCCAAACGTCTTCCGGTTTTGTGATATAAGTGTGAACAGAGCCACTGAAGCGCATTTGATTGTCAGTTGTCTTTTAGATGTGTGTTATTTCTTGCAAATGTCTGTGTAGTTAGTACTGTTGAATGTGTGAAAGCTCTTTAACCAACAAACTCAACCTCTAGGCAATTATTAAATTAAAAAGACAATTGTGAACGATTTTTCCTAAATAAATGTTTCTTACATGATCTTTCTTGGTTTTGTGGTTTAAGTACTATTTAAATTGCTAGAAAGTTTGGTGGTGTTTTTTTTTTTTTCATTCCTCGTGGGAAAGCTCAGTACAATTTCTTATTTTTGTCGTCTCCTAAGTGACTTAAAGGAAGTAAAGACAAATTCTGTGCCTTAACAAAAGTAGAGAGGATTCAGGTTTTGGATAAAGGGCCCATATGACGCTATTTTCTGATCTATGTTGTAATGTTTCCTTGTCACAGGCAGGCTTGGAGTTGTGTTTTGTTTCATTCACACATTTTTAACACACACTCGCTGAGCTGCAGAGGCTGCACTAGCACTGATTCATGGTTCAGAGAGGCATTTTAAGGATTTCAGCATTGAAACTGGAACCCAAATGAGAGACTCGTGTAAGGCTCATTCTGCTTTCTGACTGGATAAATCATCTACAGAAGAAAAACACTTCATTTTAACTTCAGCAGATTGTCCATCATGTCCAATATTTTTCTAATTAACAACTGTAATGCTGATTTATTCTTATCAGTAAAAATATCATTTGATTTTGTGGTTTTCAGATTCTAGAATGTGATGATGCCGTACTCCTAGATGGGTGGGTACTTCGCCATGAAAAATCTATTGTTGTAGTCAACACCTGTCCGAGGCCACAGGGTCCCGAGACCGAGACAAGACCAAGACCTCTGAGGGTTAGGATCGAGACCGAGACAAGACCAAGACCTCTGAGGGTTAGGATCGAGACCGAGACAAGACTAAGACCTTTGAGGAACACCACTGAGACAAGACCAAAACCTCTGAGGATCGAGACTGAGACGAGACCAAGACCTCTGAGAATCTAGACCAAGACAAGTCCAAGACCAAGACCTCTGAGGGTCAAGACCGAGACGAGGCCAAGACCTCTGAGGGTCGAGACCAAGACAAAACCGAGACAAGACCAAGACGTCTGAGAATCGAGACCGAGACAAGAACAAGACTCTTAAAGCTCGAGACTGAGACCAAGACAAGACCAAGACCTCTGAGGATTGAGACTGAGATGAGACTAAGACCTCTGAGGGTTGGGGCCCAGACAAGACCAAGACAATAACAAGACCTCTTGAGGACTGAGCCGGAGACAAGTCCAAGACCTCTGAGGATCGAGACCGATACAAGACCAATGAGGGTCAAGACCGAGACAAGACCAAGACTTTTAAAGCTCGAGACTGAGACAAGACCAAAACCATGGCCCCTTGAGACCAAATCAAGACCATCTTTGTTAATTTGTGTATTTATTTAGATTTTACCCTTATTTTGGCACATATATACTGTATCAATGTTCTCTCCATTTTACCTGATTAATGTTAATTTAGACTTCGCAAACTGTGCTCCACTTAAACACTCTGCACCCCTTTTTGTACCTCACCCACAGTTTGAGAACCCCTTCTTTAAGCCAACTTCCACTGGGACTTTACAGAAAAACGTGAAAAAAGTGAGTACGATTTAAATATCGGAAAGGTAAATTCCCAAATGGAGCCTGATCATTTCTATCAGTGACTAGACCCAAGATCATGCTGTATAGTTAAGTCAAGTTTATCGAATTTAAGAACTAAATCTTACATAACGGTTCCTTTTAAAACACACATAAAGTAATGACCAAAAAGAGAAGTATCTTTAAAAGCTGATTGTCTTTTCAAAATGTAACATCAACAACAAATAAATGTGAATAGGTCAGAAGTGGCCGTTTTGTTGCCATACCAAACACTGTTCTACATACAGTATAAACAGAAGGACCAGTGAGTACTCGATGTGTCTGTGAGTACTCAGTCTAGTCGAAGTACTTCTGTGACTAGTACGTGTCATTTTCTGTATTCTGGTTTAAGTTAATTTTACATGTTTTACCAGGTTCCATTGAGGATATAATCAAGATGGATCGATCGTGTGTCAACTGTCTCAAGTCCTTCATTCTCTTTCTTAACTTCCTGTGTTGGGTAAGTAAAATGTGGGTGTTTTCAGCCCTGGAATTGACAGTTTCTACTAAACTAAAAGGTAAAAGGTAGCTGTTAACTTGAAAACTGCCACTACGTAAAATCACAAGGTAGAACAGAGCATTTTGAGCGTTGGAGATGTAAACAGACTAAAAATGCAGGATTACTCAAACATATGTGAACGAAACAAAACACAACTCCAAGTATGTTTTTGATGACGCAACAGCATTCTAACATGTCTTAAAGCTCACAAGAGTCAATTTTGCATAATATAGGAACTTTAACACTGATATAACAGTTACAGTATTGAATAATATAACACAGAACGTAATCAATACTGGTACTACTACAACTACTGCTATTAAACCTCCCAACAGAAATGATTTTGCTCATTACTGTTACATTTCCACATAGTCAAGATTTAGCATTTTAACTGGTTAAATGTATAAAATCTTCGTTCCAACTGTTACAGGTTTAATCTGTGGAGAGGCGAGCCAGTAAATAATGCATTTTTTTAAGCAATAAAATACTTGTTATTGAGTAAAGCAGGGGTGGGCAATTTTTTTTTCCATGGGACCACATGAGAAACAGAAAATATTGTGGAGGCCAAAATGCTTAATTCAATTCTGCATAATATTAATTGTATTTCTTTATAAAAAGCAGTAAATAGCATATCATATCATATTGTTTTGACAAGCTGGTCAGACTGGAAAGAGTTTATGTTATGAGTAAGCAATGAAAAAATGAGGTTGTCTTACAAATGTAATTTAAATGTCATTTTAAAAAACACCTCTAAAATAAAAGCAATGCAGCTTTAGTCCATGCATGAGGTAAAATGATAAAATATGTTTATTTTGTAATTCCAAATGAGCTTAAACGGGCCGGTCAGAGTCAAACAAAGGGCCGTATGTGACTCGGGAGCTGGACAATGCCCAGATCTGGAATAAAGTTTAATGCCATACTGTGGAACACCCCTGACAAAGCATTAAATAATTAATCTCCAGAGAGACAACAGAAAAGTTCCATAGTGTGGCTTTAAAGGACAACTAGTACTCCTGCTACTGCTACAAATACTACTAAAGTGATAATTGCAATGCTGCCTACTATTCCCCTAAATATAAAACTGGGGAAGAATTAAAGTAACTGTACATTTACATGATTGGTTTTACTCAAGATGTGTGTAAAATCCCTCAGTCATCGATCAGGTAGAGTCCATGGCAAAAGGAGAAATTCAATTTGTCAACTGGACAAAAGTTTATTTTCGTCGAATCAGTTCTACGCTTCATCCAAGCTGCTTCTTCATCATGGCCCTGAATGGTTGTTGCTCATTTGACCCCACACTCAGTGCAAGTTCAATATCCCTGGTTAACAAACAGAAACTGTACACATGTAGGTGTGTGAGTAGTTTCAGTGTAGTTAGCTCCTCCCTTCAGACAGATATAAGGAAGTGTTCATCACTGTGAAAGAATTTCTGTGTTATTTTAAATATTATGAATCATTTAAAATCCTAATCATTTGTGTGTGTGATTAAAGTTATCAACTATTGCGTTTTTGGGTTTTTCCGTTCTGACAAAAGCAACATTGGCTTTTTAGTTTTGTCTTGTTTTGTTGTGTTCAAGCTGTATCAGGTGATCTTGCTGATGTGTCTTCTGACTCATTAAGATAAGTTTTTGGAAGAAAACTGACCTAATTGTTTATCACCTGGAGCCTGTAATCAAGTGTGAAATGGGGCGGTGGTTTAGCCTAAAGATTGTTGGCATGTGATCATTGTAAACATCGTGTGATATAACATAATGTACTGTATTGTTATCTGTGAAATGACTTCAATAACACCTGCTGTTGGGGAGAGAGCTGGCAGAGTAGAGGAGGGTCAGCCAGGGGTACGGACAGGCTCTGACAGCTCTCTTTCCTTGCGCAAGTATTAATTTTAACCGTCTCGTTTTGGTGTGTCTTATTTAATGTAATTTGATGTCTTAGGGTAAATTCCCTGACAATCAGCAGCTTGGATGAGCTACCAAACGTACACGACCAAAATACATTTTTGTCCAATCGACAAATTGAATTTCTCCTTTTGCCGTTATTGGTTTCAATAGAATTTGTTAGTGAAATGCATAATGGCTTCTTTATCAGCACTGTTGGGAAAGTTACTTTAAAACTGTAATGGGTTATTTATTACTTATTACTATCATTTCAAAGTAATTCGTTACATTACAATATTACTGCATTTAAAATGTAAGGCATTACATTACTATTGCATTACTTTAAGTTACTCTCACCAAAATAACTGCGAAAAAGCTGAACTTTTGAGCCGTGTATGGACTGAACCAGGACTAAACAAGGTCTAAACCAGGACTAAACCAGAGCTGAACCAGGACTATAACAGGACTAACCTCAGACTGATTCCAGGACTGAAGAGGAGGACTAAACCAGAACTGAACTAGGACTAAAACAGGACTCACTGTCAGGACAGGCTCGAAGGTGACCGCAGGAGAAAGGAGCGGCTTCTGCTCGTACCTCACGGAGGTAAGAGCGGCTGTCGCCTGATCGCGCTTTATGGACCCTGCTGCTCGGGCTCGCGGTCCTGATTTCAGCAACTATTTGCGGGTACAAGACCCGGTGCAAGATTCTGCTACAGCGCGTAACTTCTACCTTCCTTCAACGTGTCCAGAAGTCCAACTTTTTGTGTGATGGTTTGCATCATCCTCTGTCTTTTGGGTGCGAGTGCAGGAGTCTTTGTCAGTGCAGAACGTTTCATCGACGTTGTGGATTTTGTCGGAGAGAAAACTTGCAACCGTACAGCACTTCAGAATCACACTGCTACAGATTGAACATTTATTTAAATTTGGCAGCTGAACACATTCTGTACTGTAGAGGAGACAGGAGTCCCTTAGCCGATCAGGACACAGCAGGAGGAACGCAATACGTGTTCATACACTGTAAAAACAAAAGGCATGCAAAATTGCACAAAACAAAACAAAAAACAAACAAACAAACAAACAAAAAACAACAAACAGCGAAACAGCGAGACCGCGAAAAGTGAACCGCGTTAGAGCGAGGGACGACTGTAAACCAGGTCTAAACCAGAAGTGACTCAGGTCTAAACCAGGTCTAAACCAGAAGTGACCCAGGTCTAAACAGCGGGTTGGTCCTTTCACCCGCGGTTAACTGAAGGTTTATCCGGCCGCGTCTCCGGCATTTCACCGCTGGCTGATTTCATGGTGATTTTAGCAAATTTCTATGAAGAAAAACCCACCACTTCAATCCAGGTTAAAAAAGCATTGTAACGCGCGTTACTCACATTTGTACCGAGTAAAATATTTAAATTTTTTCCCCTGTAATGCCTTACATTACTGCATTACAGCAAAAATCAACGCATTACTGTAATACATTACTTTTATAATGCGTTACTCCCAACACTGTTTATCAGACACTAAACAAGATTGTCAGAGTAAGTGAGAGTTATCCGTCTGTTTCAGCTCTGTGGTGCGTTCGTGGTGGCCTTCGGAGAGTTCCAGATGATGCATTCAAAGTTCATGTCTTTAGTCACGTCGTTCTGGCCCATTTTTCCGGCGAACACTCTGGTGGTGACTGGGACCATCGTGACCTGTGTGTGCTACCTGGGAATACTGGGCTCATTTAAGGAGAATCGCTGTATGCTCATCAGTGTGAGTATGGATTATGTCAGGAATGTATTCAGGACCACACTGTGACCAAAACTAAACCTGGCCGTAATAAAGTATGATACAAGTAATCCATTAGTACTTAGCAACAATATACATCTCACAGTATTATATTTATTGCAATATTTTGTGGTGGTGTAACTTTTTAGGTGGGGGATCCGTCAAATTATTTAATTGATTTTATATTAAATGATGTCATTGGTTTATCTGGAATGTTTCACAGGGAGAGAGGGAGAGAGGGTGTTACAGAGGAGAAAAGACGGGGAGAGAAAAAGAGGGAGGAGAAGAGAGAGTAGAGAGAAAAGGGGGAAGAGAGAGGAGGCAAAAAGAGAGAGAACGAGAAAGAGAGAGGGGAAGGAGAAAAGAGGGGAGGCAGAGAGTGAGTGAGAAAAGGAGGGAGGGGAAGGGAGGGAGACTAAGAGAGGGAGGGAGAGACGGTGAGAGAAAGAGAGAGAGAGACAGAGGGTGTAGAAAGATAAAGAAAGAGAGCAGGCGGTGTAAAGAGAGTGAGAGAGGAGGGAGAGAGCAGGGAGGCAGCAGATAGAGAGTGAGTGGGAAAGAGAGGAAGAGAGAGACAAAGAGGGTGGATAGAGGGAGACATAAAGAGAGAGAGATAAAATAAAGAGATAGAACGATGAAGAGAAAAACAGGTGAAAGAGGAGAAAGAGGAGAGAGGGAGGATGAGAGACGGAGAAGGCAGCAGAGGGAGAGTGAGTGAAAAAGAGGGAGGGTGAGAGAGAAAGAGGAAGAAAGAGGAGGCAGTGAGAGAAAAAGAGGGGATATAGAGAAAAGGGGGAAGAGAGAGAGAAAGAGAGACAGAGAAAGAAAGAGGGGAAGGAGGCAAAAGGAGGGAGGGGAAGGGAGGGAGACGAGGAGAGAGGGGGAGGGAAAGACAGTGAGAGAAAGAGAGAGAGATACAGAGAGAGAGAGACAGAAGGTGTAGAAAGATGAAGAAAAAGAGCAGGCGGTGTAAAGGAAGAGAGAGGGAGAGAGCAGGGAGGCAGCAGATAGAGAGTGAGTGAGAAAGAGAGGAAGAGAGAGACAAAGAGGGTGAATAGAGGGAGAAATGAAGAGAGAGATAAAATAAAGAGATAGAACGATGAAGAGAAAAAGGAAGTGGTGTAAAGAAAGAGACAGGGGATGCAGAGAGTGAGTGAGAGAGGGAAAACGGAGAGAGACAGGAACAGGAGAGAGGGAGGATGAGAGACGGGGAAGGCAGCAGATGGAGAGTGAGTGAAAAAGAGGGAGGCTGAGAGAGAAAAAGAGGGAGAAAGAGGAGGCTGTCAGAGAAAGAGAGGAGGAGAGAGGAGGCAGAGAGAGAGATGGAGAAAGAAAGAGGGGAAGGAGACAAAACAAGGGAGGCAGAGAGTGAGTGGGAAAAGGAGGGAGGGGAAGGGAGAGAGGAAGGGACACAACGAGAGAGAGGGAGGGAGAGACAGGAAGAGAAAGTCATACCTTTCTGTCTTCATGGAGACCAAAGCGGGTTAAGTTACAGGTCAGATCTGTGGAGAGTCAGAATGCCTGTTTTTCTAGTTTTTTTATGTATTTATTTTTTGCTATGAAACCACCTGTAATTGAATAAATGTACGGTAGAGATGTTTAATGTCATACCATGTAACGTTCCAAGCAAAGCAATGACATATCCACCAGAAAAGTGACACCATGCACCTTTAACTATCATGAATATGCTTTTATACAAACTACCATAAAACATTCTCTTTCAGTTCTTCTTCTTGCTCTTCGTCCTCATGTTGGTGGAGTTGGCCATGGCTTGTGTCTTCCTCGTCTACAGCACCAAGGTACATGCACATTAAAGGTCCTCCATTACACAAAACTTACTCATGTGAGGTTTTTGTCATGTTATAATGTTGTTACCTCATCAAAAATATGCAGTGTTTGTAATGAGGAAACTGCATTATAACAGACAGTGTAGGGGAGTAACAGATTACATGTACCGGGATTACGTAATCAGAGTACAAATTATGAGTAACTGGATTCAGTTACAGTTACTGTTTCAGTGAGTGGTAATTGGATTACAGTTACTTTGTTGAAATAATTGGATTACAGGGTGGGATTTTCCTGTTTTCACATTTTGGGCTAAATCAGGACTAAACCAGGACTAAAAGCAGGACTAAAACTAGGACTAAAACCAGGTCTAAAACCAGGACTAAATCAGCACTAAACAATATGACACTAACAGTAGAGTGAACATAATTTAAGGCAGCAGTGATCTTATAAAAAAATAATTTCTCTATCAATAATATTTTCAATATGGTTAAGTAAAGACTGGACTTTTTATTGTCTTTTAACAGACAAAACAAAACATTCTTATGGTAAGATTTCCTGGTCTTTGCTTCTCTACAGTAAACAGTTGGTTATTCATGGAGACTTGGGCTCAACAGACAATTTGAAGAGAAAGAATTTTCAGGATGTGGTTGCTTCATTCATGCCGTTTTAAAAACCATGACAATATCAAGTAATCGAAAGTATTCAGATTACGTTACTCACTTTAAGTAATTTAATGGATTACGTTACAAACTACATTTTGGGGTATGTAATCTGTAATCTGTAGGGGAATACATTTTAAAAGTCACCTTCCCAACACTGATAACAGATCAGAAAATAATGTAATATGGTCCCTTAGAAAATGTCTTTCTTTCCAGATTAACACTTATTTTGAAGATGACCTGATGAAGAGCCTCGTGAGCTACAGAGACGGCACTCCAGAGGCCACCAAGAAACTCATCGATGACTTTGACGCTGTTCAGTCCCTGGTAAACTCTTTAAAAACCCATTGATATAACTCAATCTTATACAGTAACTCAGTCTTGCCCAGATAATCATAATTACCTCCGCCAAGGAGGTTATGTTTTTGCCGGCGTTTGTCTGTTTGTTTGTTTGTTTGTTTGTTTGTTTGTCTGTTTGCAACATAACTCAAAAAGTTATGGACCGATTTTGATGAAATTTTCAGGATTTGTTGGAAATGTGAAAAGGAAGAACTGATTTCATTTTGGGGGTGATCCGGAAGAAATTCTGGATTCTGGATCACTTTGAAATTTTAGTTAACATTGTGGTAAATGGGGCCAAAAATTTAGTTTCTCAATATCTCGGTTAATTATTGACCAAACCCCATGAAATTTGACTCAGGGATGGACAATGGGATCCTCTTTCATATTCCAAATTGAAAGATACGAGACAAATATTTATGGAAAACACAATTAATATGAGGGGGACTGTAGTCCTTGGCGGAGGTCTGCGCTCTCTGAGTGCTTTTCTAGTTATTATTATTCTTTGTTTATTTATTTCATTCATAAAGTATAAAAAGACATCAAGCAGTGTCACAACATCAAACATACAAGAAATAAATGAAAAGGAGCAGAAAGAAGAGTCATCTTATGTTATCTGTCCACTTTTCCCTTTTCAAGACAAAACATCGACACTGATAGTTACTTTAAAACATTTCAGATCAGTACATTTCAGTTCAGGCACAATTATTAATCAATTATAAACAGAAATCTTCACTATTACTCACAACAACTTTCTTTTTCATACACACACATTGCATTCGATTAAGTGTTTTTAAATGCCGTCATTGTACTTGATTCTTTTATTTCTTTGTCAAGACTATTCCATAAATGAACTCCTTTCAGAGCGATGCTTTGCTCATTAACCTTGGTTCTGAATTTGAGTTTTTTAAGCATGTCGGTTCCTTTTAATTTGTAGTGTTTTGTTCTCGTCTCAAACAGTCTTTGAATACTTACAGGTAACACATTGCACTTTGCTTTATACATGACTTTGAGGAGATTTAAGTCAACAATATCCTGCATTTTCAACACTAAGTTCAACAAATAATGGGTTGGATGTCTCTCTACAGTGACTGTTGGTGATAATGCTCAAGGCTCTTTTTTGTAAAATAAATAAAGACTGTAGGTAAGTTTTACACGTTGAGCAGCAACTTTCTACACAGTACATCAGATCTGGTGCGATTTATAGAGTTATACAAATTTACTAATGCTGCCCCTAATTTCCTAGTTTGTCTAAGTCTAAGTCAGAATGAGCCTACCCTATCCTATACAGTGCTCTAAAATCTGCTGTTTTCACCTACCCCCTCTCTCCTCCCATTACTCTTTACTTGCAATTATTCAAAAAAATTTAATTCCAGACCAGTATCAAAGATGCACTGTGTAACTTTTCTGGTAGAGGATCCGTCAAAAGTGTTTATCCATGGAGATGTTATTGCAGAGTATTAAATCTTTCTGTCGTCATGGAGATTAAACCAGACCAGGATACAGGTCAGATCTATGGAGAGTTGGCCCCGCTCACTGTCAAAATCCCTGTTTTTGTAGATATTTTTGAGCTATAAAACCACCTGTAATGGAATAAATGTAACATAGAACTGTTTAATGTCATACTGTGGAACATTTCAGGTACAGTAATGACATATCCATATAATAGAAACAAGCAGGACCAGCCTGCAAACAAAAAGTTACACAGTGCACCTTTAACAATAAACAATTGCAGCATATACACACTTTTTGTTATACACACACTTAGTGTATATTGTATTGATACTTTTCAGTGTGTGCAGCTGTAAATGTTGTATTTTTTCTTGAATTTTCACACATTTCTAAAACTTTTTTGGATGTGTTTGCTAATTGTGCATTTGCTGCACTTTATTTTTAAATATACTTTTATCTGTTTTTTTCAGTTTAAGTGCTGTGGAGTGCATGGATCGGCCGACTGGGGAGATAACGTCCCAATCTCCTGCTGCACTTCAGACCCATGTAACGCTGTCAACTTCACCACCTGGGACGAGGTACTGGATCTTATGGCATCTCCAAAACGTCCCAATATAATAACAAAAATATATATATATACACCGAAATGTAATAAACTTTTATCATTCAATCACAAATCTGGTCACATGCTTTCAGAAGTATTAAAGTTGCATTGTGTAACTTTTCCGGTTGGATGCTTTTCTCAATGGAGATGTTAGTGCTTTGGGTGGAGTGTTCTGTAGTACGACATTAAACATTAAACGCATCAATCATGGTGATATCAAGTCAAGTTATAGGTTATTTTTATATAGATATTTTGTATAGGTATTTTTGTTCATAATAAATAAGTGTAAATTAATTCATGCAAGTTGGTAAGTTTACTGGTACACTGTATAAAACTCTAGGCAAAACAATCACATCTCCATGGCGACAAGCAAGTGACAGACCCCAGAGGTGGGCTCAAGTCGTTTTGTGAGTCTTAGGTAAGTCTCAAGTCTTTAACCTTTACTCCTAGTCAAGTCCAAAGTCAAATACAGGCAAGTCCAAGTAGAGTCTCGAGTCACTGGCTCATAAGTCCAAGTCAAGTCCAAGTCGTCTGTTTTGAGCTTTGAGTCATTTGAAGTCTTTTGTAATTTATATGACTTTTAAGCTAAATTGTACTTAAAAAGTCATGATATATGAGTATTTATACAAGAGTTATTGAAAGGCTAATTTTCCTTTTTAAATGTCACAGGGCTCAAGTCTGAGTCACCACCCAAGTCACTGACCTTCAAGTCCAAGTCTATTTTCTCAAGTCAAGTCTCAAGTCCTAAAAATAGTGACTCCAGTCTGACTCAAAGTCCAAGTCACGACTTTCACGACTTGCAAGTCCCAACCTCTGACAGACCCTCACCAAAAAAGTTGTGCACCTTTAAAGTGTTCAGCAATGTGATCCAAAATGAAAATCTGGGTTTCATTATTGTTTGGTCATAGTGTCAATAATTGAAATATATTAAATGAGCACTGTGTAACTTTTCAGTTGGGGGTCTGTGACTTTCTTGTTAGTTCTACTTTATATTTATTCAATTACAGGTTTTTACTGCTCAAAAATACCAAGAAATACAGGTATTCTGACTGTGAGCAGGGCTGCCTCTCCACAGATCTGACCTGTAAGTTGGTTTGGTCTGGTCTCCATGAAGATAATAAGGTTTAATACCAATAGTGAAACATTCTCGAGAAAGCAATAACATCTCCATGGAGACAAGCATTTGACGGACCCTCCACTAGAAAACTTAAACAAGCCACCTTTATAATTGTGATTTCTCTTCTCACAATAAGAGTAAAATTGTCCCTAAATAGGTTAAAAGTTATTTACTTACAATATTATAAGGATTTGTTCACACGCCTTGGTTACTTCTAAAATAAAGATGGTATGGTACTTTTCTAGTTCTGGTTTTGTCCTGGTCCAGTCCAAGTTTCAGGGATGGATGTTGTCACACAAAGCCATTAAAACCTGAAATAATCTCTGATATATTGGTAGTTTTCATGTTTTAGAATGTAATGTGAGCTGGAATTTCCTTCTGATTAGTTGTACTTTGTCATGAAATACACAAAAGGTAAATGCATATTCCATTCTTTTAGTAACAAGACCCAAGAACTCAGTGTATAAAACAGAAACCTGCATTTTAAGCTTCATTTTCATTCATTCATTCTGCTTCTCTTTAGGGCTGTGTGGTGAAACTGAGGGACTGGTTTGCTCACAACTATCGCAGTACCGGAGCTGGAGTGGTCACTATGTTCATTATCCAGGTACTAACTACAACTGGTATTTATAATAATAATCATAATAATACTTAACACTTCTATGGAGCATTTGTGACACTCAGACAATTCACATAGATCAGAACACACACGAACACAAATGAAAGAAACAGATAAGCAGATGCAGTTATTTAAAGGCAATTTTGAACAGGTGAGTGTTCAGGGCTTTTTGAAGATCTCTCTATACCTGAGGGCCTGTTTCCATGAGAATACATAGTGCAACTTTAGAAAAATATGAAATTGTTCTAGAATGAAACCCATCTACTCAGGGTGTAATGGTACATGTATATGTGCCAAACTGTTTCGGTGCAGTACGTTCAGTTTGGTGCAGGACTGTGCATGAGTGAATTTGCGCAGTTTGTGCAATTTGTTTCTGCCACTACGACCCCACATGGCTAATTAACATAAACTGAGCGCTCAAAACAGCTCGCTGTTGTGCGCTGATGCAGTTCAGCTTCTGTTGGACTAAATGACACAACTCAGTGGATTATGTGTGTTCTTTCTGTGACAGAGGGGTGTTCTGCTGATGATGAGTCTGTTCTGTGCTTCTATCACGTTGGAGATGGTTCATGTGAAACCTTTCAGAGATTATATGTCTGCAGGTCATACACATGGACCGTATATATGAATATATGCTAGCCTCTGCATAGACCTACATCAGCGTATCAGCGTTTTCAGGCGTCCACACAGTGCCGGATCAGATCTGTACTCAGATGAATTCGTGGGAGCTGGTGGCACCAGATCGTTCCGTCTCTGGAGCCGTTTTCAGTCAGATTAGTGTGGACGAACACTGCATCCACAACGAAACGATTCAAATACGTACTAGTGTGGACGGGGTCTACATGTGCAGCTACACGGAGGCTCAGCTCTTTAATATTCACAAGGGAACTCATCCGTGATTGGGGTGGCAGTGTTTCCCACAGCGCTTTATAGTTAGTGCGGCCACCTTGACAGCAACAGCCCCCTCTGAACCACGTGAATCCTCGTAAAACTCCTCACTTTTGCCTTCCGAATCGCAAATGGTTTTGCATTTTGTTCCCATACTGTACCGAAAATGAACGAACCGTGACCTCAAACCCGAGGTACGTACCCAACCATGATTTCTGTGTACCGTTACACCCCTAACATCTACCCAGCCAAGTACAAATAATTCATAATAAAAGTGATAATATGTTTTTAATCTTGCTTTTTAATCGGTCAGTATTATTTTGTGTTAAAATTCATAGGTTTGTTAAAGGTGCATTATGTAACTTTTGCGTTGGAGGGTCCGTCAAATGTTTGCTCTGCCTGGAATGTTCCACAGTATGACATTAAACAGATCTATCTTACAATTATCAAATTACAAGTGGTTTTATAGCTCAAAAATACCTAGAAAAACAGGAATTGTGACTGTGAACAGGGTCGCCTCTCCACAGATCTGACCTGTAACTTGATCTGGTTTGGTCTAGATAGAAAGGTTTAATGCCATACTGTGAAACATTCCAGACAAAGCAATAACATCTCCACGGAGTAAAGCATTTGACAGACCCTCCACCTGAAAAATTACACAATGCATTTTAAAATCATTCTTTGTACGCACATGTTTTTCCTATTGATATTCTCCTTATGTTTATTTTGAATCTCTTCTTTTTATTTGCAGTTCATTTCCATGTGCATAAGTGTGCCTCTCTTCTGCCACTTCAGTCGACAGGGCCTTGGTTACCAGTGAAAACTAACGCTCTTGTGTAACCTGCAAATGTTCCGTGTATGGATTTGTACGTAACCGTTTCCCTAATAGCACTTTATAACTAATTAAACATTGTATATCATTAATAAACCCATTTATAAAACCATTTCTAATAATTCAGCAATGTTGTAGATAGACGTGTGTCTGTAATGGTAAGAAATTGTAATTAAATGTTAAATTGTGTAACTTTTCTGATAAGATCTTGGATTTATTTATTTCAGTTACAGGTGGTTTTATTTTTTAAAGGTCCTATATTACACAAAATTGACTCTTGTGATCTTTAAGTGATGTTATAATGTTGTTACCTCCTCAAACACAGACCCAGGAGTTGTGTTTTGTTTCGTTCACACCTGTTTGAGTAACTCTTTATTATTAGTCTGTTTACATTTCCAAAGCTCAAAATGGTCTTTTCCACCTTATGATGTCATGTAGTGGTAGTTTTCAAGTTATCCGCTTCCTTTTTAGTCCCTTATGTAATGGGTGTGTGTCTGTTCATTAAGAGTTTAATGTCTTGATTAGGGATGGGCATTCGATGAAATTTTCTTAATCGATCGTCGGAAGAATTAACGATCGATTATCGATTAATTAATTCATTAACGTTTTTATATTAAAATGATCATTATTATTACTATCTGCACTACTAATCTGTATAAATAAATTCAACTTTACGACATATAAACCGTAACCACTCTAGAGCCACATCAGCTCGTTTGACATTATAATGTGTTTAATTCAGTTTTGCGCAACTCTCACAGAAACAAAACTTAAAACCGCATCGCTAATTTGCATAAACTAAGCGAAGATAAAACTACAGCTCTTGTGTCGCTGATGCAGTCAATTTCTGTCGGATTAAAAGACATGACTCAGGTGAATACAGGTTAGTGTGACCAGATTTGCGTTTGTCAAAACCAGAACACTGTACGGGGGGAGGGAGGGACTCGTTATCGACATTGCACGACTCTCACCTGGCAAAGCTTTTTCCCACTGGACACTGAAAAATATGTGCTGCTTTGTACACTGTGCACATGGACTCACACTTGTCCCGAACGCAACGGAAAGCGGAAACAGAAATTTCTTGTACAAGTCATCGTTAAACAAGCATTTGTGCTTCGGCACGTTGCAGACTGACCCACTGTTTGTGTCTCGCTCCTTCTGAGTGCAGAGAGACACATGTACAGACCTGTTTGGTCACACTACACACAGCAACCTACATTCGGTTTGTCGATTAAAATTAACGTAATCAAGGAAATTCTTAATGATCAATTATCGATTAATCGATTAATCATACCCATCCCTAGTCTTGATGCACATCCATTAACCCTCAGTTTATATCTGCGTTGTGTTTTTGAGTACTGCGCTGGCTGAAGGAAGGACTATGAGACACTGGTGACCACTGGATACTCATTTACTGGTGGTTCTGCACAAATGAAAGAAAAATACAAATCCTTGTTATATGTTTCTCCATGCACGCAGCTCATCAGTCCCCTGTAAGCAGGAAAACACATGTAGAAGGCTGAAGCGAGCTCCCAACTACATGTATTTACAGTAAACTTGAACAACAGACATGAACCAGCTCCTACATGGTCCAAATTATACATGTGGATTTGTAGATGATCAGTAATTATGTTTTATTATGTTTATGTTTTTTTACTACAACGTGAAACGAATAATGATAAAACAATAAATTACTTTTACTTATGTTTCCAACTTCTCCGTTCCTTTACTTTTCATGTTGTAGTTCTTCTTCTTCACTTGCCGCTTGATCGGTCCGTCAGAAAACAGAGTCCCGTGGTCACTTCCGTTGTGGCTTTTTAATGTGTTGTGGCTTTTTAATGTGTTGCGGCATTTGTGTTTGTGTTGTGGCGTTTGTATTTGTTGCGGCGTTTGCATTAAAATAGAGTCCCGCGGTCATTTCCGTTGTGGCTTTTTTTGGTTTGTTGTGGCTTTTTGTTGTGTTGTCGCACTTGTATATATTGCGGCGTTTGCGTTTGTTGTGACCCCTCTTGGCTTCCGTACTTCTTGTATCACCACATGACATCACAAGATTTTCTGTTTGAGAGAAGAACTCTAAACCATAAATATGCAGAGTTTGTGCGTCAACGATATGTGAATAAAACAACACAACTCCAGGTCTGTTTGTGAGGAGAAAACGGCATTATTACAGAAAATAGCATCAAAAATACATTGAAAAACTGTTACTGAGTGGGCTCGCCTCTCCACAGATTTTACCTGTACCTGGTGGTGTGCCAATTGCTTTTCTCCATGGAGATTGATAAATTTAATTACATGCTGTGAAACATTAAGGCAAAGAAATAACATTTTAATGAGACAAACAGGTGATAGACTTTCTACCCGAAAAGTTACACAAAGCATCTTTAATATAATGAATGTATACATAAATAAATAAATATACAAAATCATAAGAAGTACTTGTCTTGAATAGAAGTAGTATGAATTATTGTCAATTTGATTTTAACATTGCTCCTGCTAGTGTGAGGCAGTGACTTGAACATGCCACTAGATGGAGCTGTTGTATGAGAATTTGAATGGCTGAACTGCATCGTTTGGTTTAATTCACACACTGCACCATAACACAAGACTAGAGTACACATATTTGTCTGACAAAAGTATCGACAATCTGATACCAATCGATATTAAAACCAGTATCGAAAATAAATACTCATTTGAGCAGGTATCGATACTAAAAATGTCACATTCACAGGACAGAAATGAACCTTTCCTGAATAGTTTTAGAATGATCTAGAGCCGAATCAGAACAAGTATAAGAGAACATAGACTAGTATAGAAAAGGAGCAAAGGATCATGGTCTATGTAGTTCCTTCTGATACCTGGACTACTGAGGGATTACACAGATATAAGGCCACATGGGAATAGAAAAGAAAGTACTATGATTTAATGCTGAAAATTAAAATGATTCTAATGACAAAATAGTGTCTGTTAAAGTTTTTTTTTTTTTTTTTTATTTTATTTTACATATTTTATTAAGTTTTCAACACTTTAACACAGATATGTCAACCTCAGGCTCAGGGGCCCGCGAGATCATGTATTAGAGCTGCCCGCCGGCTACAGACAGATTATAGAGACATTATTTATTTTAAATGTGTTTATTATTTTATATTCTGCTTGTTCTGGATTCAATGTTTAAGCAAAACTATTATTAAACATTTATCTTAATAAGAAAAGGTTTAACATTCATATCTCGAAAGAAGAGAAAAACATGCAGATGCTGTTGAAATTTTTCAATAAATATTTAGTCTGGCCCACGACTTGGGGCCTGTTTGCACCAGAACGCTTGCAGGTAAAAACAACTAAATATTTTATGGGAAGTACCTTTTGTTTAGACGGTGACAGCGTTTTTGGCACTTAAAAATGCAAAAATCTGAAACCACCCTCCAGAGTGGAAAAGTTGAAAACGCTCCACCGTAACGTTTCTGTCTACACTGCCCAAGACGCAAAACTCTGGTCAGATCTGCTCACGTTGCATGCGTGTTTACGTCACATACATACAGTAAACAAACCTGGCATGCATACCCAGTCGAATTCCACACACTTTAGCGTCACCGTATGCACGCAGATTTCCTCCTGAAAACGCTCGTCTAATCTCAGAATAAAAAGTGAAGACGCGACGCCACTTTTGTGTCTTCTTTTCAGACCGTCATCATATAAACGTAGCCATAGTCCAAGTTTTTTATTTTGTCCCTCTGTGAATTTGAGTTTGACATCCCTGCAACACACAAAACACAGAGCAGTCTGAACACATGTTTGAGTTTTCTTCATTACATAAATCTTAATCAATTAAGTGAGACACACCAAAGTGGTCAAACAGGCAAACCAACAGCTGCTCCGACACTGAGCCTGTACCTCTCTGTATAATGACACTGACATAAAGAAATCGTCATTACCTTTCAATTTTGCACTGACTCTTTCCACGGGTAAGACTCTAAACATTTCTTTATACCACTGGGTGACAATCGGTGGCTTCTCATGTGTCCAGTTAAACAGCTCACATTACCGTGCCAGAAGTAGTTATTAGAAATAGAAATAATTTAGTCACCGATTTTTATTTACTTTTGTCTGTCATTTTGTTTAAAGGTGGCAGCCCGAACAGAAACCAACCCAGATCCTTCCCTAGTTTATATATCACTATGCTGCTTATTTCTTTAGTTATACAGAACCAGAATTTGGAGATTTTTGTTGAAGTCCACAGACAGTGTAAATACAGTCGTCCCTCGCTATATCGCAGTTCAGCTTTCGCGGTCTCGCTGTTTTGCGGATTTTTTTAGTGCAATTTTGCATGTTTTTGCAGCGTATTGTGTTCCTCCCTCTGCCTTCTGATTGGCTAAGGGACTGTAGCCCACTGTCAATCAATCTCCTCCGTGCTGTGTCTCCTGTACAGTACAAAATGTGTTCAGCTTGACAAATTTACATAAATGTTCAATCTCTAGCAGTGTGATTCTGAAGTGCAGCGCGATCAGGCAATAGCCGCGCTTACCGTGAGGTGTGGAGCTCTCCGTCGGTCCTTTCTCCTGCGGTCACCTCCGAGCCTGTCCCGACAGTGAGTCCTGGTTCAGTTCTGGTTTAGTCCTGTTTTAGTCCTAGTTCAGTCCTGGTTTAGTCCTTCTCTTTAGTCCTGGAATCAGTCCTAGGTTAGTCCTGGGTTAGTCCTGGTTTAATCTTGGTTCAGTCAGTGGCGTATGCAGCGCAAAAGTTTGATATAATCTCGGGTTAACGGGCGGGTGCGGTGTTGCAATGCTTAGGTGCGGATCTCCAAAAAATGGACCTGTGCAGGACTCTGCGCTGTAGGACTCCATTATGGAATAAATGAATCTTCAGTTCGTTACATAAAAGAGGAAAATAACAAAGTACGATAGCAGCAATACGTTTTAAGAAGGATGCAAAAAGAATTAAGTGTCCTGTCTGAGAAAAGTGTAGCCTATAAAGTGTGTGCTGAGGGGTTTTACAGCCTTAAAACAGATATAAGCATTGTAAAATATAACGTTGACTACTTCACAGATTTCACCTATCACGGGTTATTTTTAGAATGTAACCCCCGCGATAAACAAGAGACCACTGTAAGTTCCATCTGTTGCCTTACATTTAAGACACAAAGGTGATCTACTGGGGTCTATCTTGCTCAGGAAAACCGGTGTCTGTGCTGCCTGTGTAAAATTTTAAATTGGATCTCTTTTTATTTGTTGTTGAGGAATAGTGAATGAGTGGACGGGATACTTTCCTTCCAACTAAAAGATTGTTTTTAATATCACTATGCTATCCGAGTATCGAACCTTTTCCGTCGTATTGAAATCAAGTTTGAAATTTTAGTATACTACTGCAAAAATTCAGAACAGTATATTAAATGTACTGTTAGCGTAGTCTTCCCCTAACACTGACTCTTTAATTCAGACGTGAGCAGTTATTTTTCCTCAGGGTCATATCTGGATCCAGGCATGTGGCCACTAGAATCCATTATTTCACTATAATAATCATCACCAAAAAGTTGCGAGGGGCTGCAGCTGCGTTAAAACAAGCCGAGGGCCGAATGTGTCCCAAAAGTCCAGGTCTGGTGTAATGCGTCTGGCTCTGGACCTGTTCACTAAAGGGAAGGGCCCGGAGTATTTTCTGATCTGTTCTAATGGTGTATCCTCATCAAAAATAGACCTGGAGTTGTGTTTTGTTTCATTCACACGTGTTTAACTGGATATTTTTCTCTCACACAGGTAATGCTCCACTGTGTTTTTCCACTCCACACACCTTTACTAGGATCATGTGGATCATTTCAGCCCTGGAATTGCCAATTTCTCAAAGTGCAAAGTTCAAAGTATCTTTATTGCTTGACATACAAAGGAATTGAAATTACGTTTCTCTCTATCCCATGAGGAGACAAGACAGGACCAGTGTTGGGAGTAACATGTTATAAAAGTAACTAATTCCTGTATTGTGTTGCTTTTTGCTGTAACACAGTAATGTGGCATTACAGGGGAAAAAATTTAATATTTTACTTGGTACAAGTAACATGCATCACAATGAATTTTTAACCTGGATTGAAGTGGTGGGTTTTTTTTTGTTTTTCTTCATACAAATTTGCTAAAATCACCGCGATATCAGCAGTGGTGAAACGCTGGAGACGTGCCCGTGTAGACCGTCAGGTAACAGTGGTTGAAAGGACCGGCGCAGAACTCCGCGCTCCATGGGGCTAATCGCAGCTGACCCCTGATTGCGCCTTGCGGTCCTAGATTCCAAGTTCTAGTCCAAGATTAGTCCTGGTTTGTTCTTGGTTTAGTCCTGGTTTAGACCTGGTTTAGTCCTGGTTTAAACCTAGTTCAGTTCTAAGACAAAGATGTTAATTTTGTCTTTTTATATACTTTAACTTCTTGGGTTTTTTTAAAGACAGTCCAGTAAAGTGTGTTTACCTTGTTGACATGTTTCGGCTGCTAGCTGCAAGCCATCTTCAGAACTGTCCCCGGTGTTGGTGGTGATGTGTCGTATATCAGCTGTTGTTACTTCCTGTAGGCGTGGTCAGCCTGATGGACCTGCAGGTCGCTCAGACTGACCACGCCTCCCGTCGCCCGGTGTTCTCTGGAGGAGGGTGTCCCAGGTGTGTGAAAGAAGGAACACGCCATCATCACGGTTAATGCTATTAGTGCCTCGTTTCCTGATTTCAATGGCCTCCTTGATCTAGCGTTTGAACATGTTGTTTTCTGATCCAATGACCCGATCTCCGTCCTGTGGTTCAGTTCTAGTTTAGACCTGGTTCAGTCCTGGTTCCGCTCTGGTTTAGACCTGGTTCAGTCCTGGTTTAGTCCTGGTTCAGTCACGGCACAAAAGTTTGAAATCTTCGCACAGTTATTTTGGTGAGAGTAACTTAAAGTGCTGCAATAGTCGTGTAATGTTTTACATTTTAAATATAGTAATATTGTAATGTAACAAATGACTTTGAAATGACAGTAACAAGTCATAAATAACACATTACAGTTTTGAAGTAACTTGCCCAACAGTGGACAGGACAAACATTCACGTGCACAGACACAACAACGACACAACATCATCTCTAACCACTACACCAGTGTTTCCCAAACTTTTTTTCTGGGCACCCATATTTTAAAAGTCACAAACCTTCGCGACACAAGTCAATAGACATTATTCATAAATCACAAAATAAAGGTGGATTTGAGCATTATTGAACATTAATGAGGATATTTGATTGTTGACTGTGTGATCATGTCTCTGAACAATTAGTATTACTCAAGTTTTTATTACTATTTACTATTACTACTTACTACTACTACTATTTACTCTATTTATTATTTTTATTACTCAAGTCATTGAAGC